TATATGTATTGTCATAACCGATATTACATATCGACGAACTAGACCTTAAACTCGCTCCTGCGTGAGATATATATTTTTCCCTCCAAGGCCGCGCAAAGAATTCTTTTTAGAGAATGATCTTGAACGTCATACTATACGAATGCCGTTCCGGGACAGAAAGCAAAGAGAATAAATTACGTTTTCCCATATTTCGGGCGCAGTAAGAAAATCGAAGGACTCGCGCAGGGTGTGGCGACCCCGCGCATATTCATTGGAGACCATTGCATACAATGGCATACAGTTGAGGAATAAAAATTGATCGTGCAACAAGATCGCGGGAAGCCCGCTAAAGATGATCGTTTTCTGAAAGCTAATATCGTTAAAAGTTTCGACGTCATAGAGATTTTATCCATATCGACAGCGTAATGTGAGCGATCGTCAACATTTTAAGCACAAATTAAGTGTCTCGTTAGGATAAACAAATTGTAAAAGAAACCGAATCACACTGTCTCAAATCACGAATAAATCATTTTTATATTCTTGCTTTGTTTATAAAGTTTATTTTTATTTCCAAATTAAATGATATTATGTTTTTGACTCGAAGCTCTTCCAATTTATTTTGAATTTTGTTTTCGTTGAGTCATATTATTGTTATTTTATGTTAAATAAAATGCAGTTGTTATGTTAATTATAATGCAGTTGTGTCTTAAAATACTATACTGTGTAGCAGATTAATTTTTTTACAAATGATGTGTGCCAAAGCTTACTGAGCGTTCAGTGAGAAATTGTAATACTAAATATACCTATACTTATTATTGATTAAATTTTCTCCGCTGAATGTAGCTATTATCTCGTTGCCCTTTAATTTTCATGCGAAACTATGCACACGTTTGCATGTACGATAAGTTATATTTGATAGCTCGGTTTCGGTGGCTCAGCGAATTCGGTGCGTTGCGCTGACAACAGTATTGTTCTCCTTTCGTAAATTGAACGTGATTCTTCAAGCTTGAATCGCAAGATAAGATTTCTGAGTAGTAGTCGCGTATTGAACCAGTCATCGAAATTCGTCCGACTTGTCATCAGTGTGTTTTAGCAACATACTTTCGAAAATTGTGTGGTTGTTTCATGACGAATATATGAGGCAAGCGCAATTATTATATTACAGAGCTGTGTTATTCCGCGGATTATAAATGCATTGTAAACAGAAATTACAAACGCAGTAGCGATCTTGAAAAAATTTAGTTATCGAATAGATCTTTTGAGGATACCTTTCTCGAAACCTCCATTGCAGATTTGCTTATCGAGCATATCTCATCTAGGTATTTTTTGGTTTATCAATCTCTTATGTACTTCCGAAATTTTGATATTTAAATTCCAGACACCCTGCGTGTCTTGAATTTAAATAATCTGATTTTCTAGAGATAAACCTATATTAAAAAATAAGTATTAAAATACATAAAGATTTATTAGATATAAATTGAACTGAAAGAAAATCTAGTTATACATATATAGAAGCAAACTTAAAATTTTAAGTTTTATAATGTAATGAAAAAAGTAACGAATCATTACTTTTTGAATAACACAGTAACTTTTTAAAGTTACTTTTTAAAATTAATAACGGTAATTTTTTACAAAAAGTAACTGTAAGAGTAATGCGTTATTTTTATAAAGTAGCGTTCTCAACTTTGGCCTTATGATTGATTTATGGCATTCTTAAGACGTTATAAACCACTAGAGTCGTATTAGTAATGACATTCTTACTTGAAAATAATTTTTAGTAATATCTTATTATTAAGACATACTGCGAGCAATATTTCCTGCTTAACGTGTTGTCGAACATAATTTGCGGAGTAATAAAACAAGCAAGAAAATGGAGGAAGAATAGAGAGAAAAAGGATGGACGCTTTGGCTAAAAACTGTGATCCGTTTCCTGAGAGTGAACAATCTCGAGTGGACGCGAGGCTCTTGTTAGACACGCTCGAAAAAGCCTCCGATTCCCTGAGCCAAATCAAATTAAGTCACGACTATCCGACTAATTAAGGACAAACCTTTTTAATTGAACGCTCAGCTTGAGCAGCTCGAAACTCATAATAAGTTATACTCACTCGTTATTGTCGCGAGTTGATTTGTTGAATTTAGCGAGGTTAACAGGATTTAATGAGTGGTTACTATTAATGCGAAAAAAAATGAGTTTTGCGAAAATGTGGAGCAGAATTTTTGGAAACCATCAATAATCTTTAGCAAAAACGTATAGACCCTAAAAGTTGATAAGTCAAAGTCGATAAGTTTTCAATTGTAGTAGTATCGAGAGCTTGAAATGATAACAAGAACAAAATAAAAGCATCACGCAAACGCATTCTCGTGTGTTATTATTCATAAATTCCATACTATACGTGTTCAGAAAATGGAGAACAGAGATTCGTCAGAATCTCTTATAATATCATTATTTTGTGCATTATTATTGGAAAGTAAACAAGCTCCCATTAGAAGAGATTGATCGAGTCAGATTGAATTCATCCGATTAAATTCGTACATCAATCTGGTCCGTCTTCTAGAAATCTGCGCATATTCAAAAGAAACCCGGTTGCGAATCTGGAACAGATCCATTTAGTGAAAAAGACTTATACTTAGTAGTAGAGTAAAACTTTAAGGACCACGCAGAATAAAAGGAACAAGGAATAGAGAACAGGGAATAAGAATTTCCACCTATCAGAAATCATGTACTATGGAATACACCCTGTTTATTCCACAGTATATGATTTCTGATAGGTGGAAATTCTTCTCTGTTCTCTGTTCCTTTTATTCTGCGTAGCCCCTAAAAGTGATAACTTATACTTTATATAGAGGCTCAATATATTTATTAGTTTGAATAAACTATTTTATAATTATTATATAAAATTATAAATATTAAATAGTAGATATACTTAACTACTCAGATAGCAATTAAAATGCTAGCAGTTTGTTGGTAGATTTTAGCAGCAAATTTGATTATATTCCTAAAATCTCCATAGCAATTTGAATATCTGTATTATATGTATATAAGATATTGTCAACATATAGTTTACTGACATGCTATGCTGATTGGTGGTAGAACCGAGCAAAAGCGCTGTAAATCTGCACGATTTCTGCCACTCTAAACTATCAATGCATATTAATATAATACAAACTTTGTCATATTTCTAGTGATAGTTTGACGACATTGACATATAGATATTATAGATCACTCTGTGTGAAATTCGTTGCCTTTCGGTCATCAGTATATTAGATAGCGGTATTGTGTCCAAAAACTGTATCCGCAGATTTGGAAAGCATCTGCAAATATATGTATAATATATGTATATACATCAATTATACATGTATGTGTGCGCGCGCGCATATATTATTTATGACCGACGCTTGACTTTTCAGCAGCAATTACTGATGATATCACGAGTGTGTCGTGTATTCTTTGAAGTAAGTTATAAAAGACAATGATCTGAAATTCCGGCGTAAAGTAACGTTCTCGATTTCGTCCTTGGAGCGAGACTCGTGCTCGAAAATAGCGCGGGATTGCTATCATTATTGCACGATGACGGCTGACCGGCCGACCGGTCAGTAATAGTCAGCAACGCGAGGATCTCGAACGAGGTTCACCGCCCCGACCGCCCCTATGGAAACCTAACCTAACAGCCGACAGTTCGATGCGCATTCACCCCTTACGCGCTACCCTCTCTCTCTTTCTCCTCCTCCTCCTCCTCCTCCTCTCTCTCTCTCTCTCATTCCACTCTATGTTGGAGTCAGCTGCGAGCGATGGGCTCGGACTGGTTCCCAATTTCGATCAGTTCGCATCCATTGAACAAGTACTGCGCGAACTTATTTATTAGTACGTTTACAGAGTTATATCTTTAAAGGGATCCTAAAAATGATTATAGTCATATTATATTATAAACAATACTTACCACACAGATGATTTATGTACGTGTCATTGACGCACGTCGCTGATTTTTCACTGGCAGGTAGAACACACTTGATGTCAGTGGCGGATTTATACATTTTTGTACCCTAGGCCTTATACTTTCTGGCGTCCCTTTAAGACACCCTTAACGCCTCTTTCAGACGAATGAACAATAAAAAAAAAGAACGATAAAAAAAAGTCGTAAAACATCACTTTTCCACCAAAACGTCAAGTTTATTTTTATGCGCTAAAGCACCATATATATAATTCAAGATGCCACATTGACAACTGGCAATCCTGCACAAATACGTGGTTATTTACTAGAAGGATAGTGTTCCTCTCGTGGCTCGGACCTCGTGAACCTTTGTCTAAAACCACCACTGATTAATGCACGTCATTAGTCCTTTTTGCCTTTTTCAGATGATCGGCGGAATTTCAAGTTTACGATGCTTTGTGGCTGCAGAATAAAGCTTTGCAACTATTGTAAATTTTTTTGATATATAATTGTACTATACAGAGATGCAGACATTTTGGTATATAAAATATAAAGCGCGTGGCGCGATGCATGAAATTCGTTAAAGTTCTTATTCGGCAAAAATTCGGATAATCGCAGTTCTTTCTCAATTAATAAAAGAAAAACAAAAAAAAGAAAGACAGAAAACATTCTCATCTCAGGGAGCGTTCAAATTTTCGAGTCCTTCAACGCGAGGGTGTCGTCGCCTTCGCTAGCGAACTGCGGGAGCCAAAGTGTAACCCCCCACCCTTGCACGCTTCCATCGCATCGCGTCGTCGCGATGGGGCCTTCTACCTAGCGGCACAGCGGGCCTCAGCTCGCTCGGCTTCAGCTCATCTCGGCTCAGTACAGTGCTCGCAGTAGCGTGTGGTAGCGTGACCAGCGTCGATTGTGTCGATCCGCGGGTGCTTCGGTGTTACGTGCATCTTTCGCGAGAGGGTCCCGTTTCTTTCTCATACTTCGTGACAGCCACCTTTCCGATCCGTCTGGTCATCGTCGCGGCGTCTGCCCTCGTCCCTTTTTCTCGCGCGAGAAAATTCGAGGTGCGGTCGAGTCGAGCCGCAGGCCCGGAGACGCGCGTGTGCCATCGATACGCTCGGGCGAACGACGAAACGGCAGAACGCGGCCGACGCGATTGAAGGAAGCACAGAACTCCGCGGTGAAGGAGCGGAAGCGGACGAGAGAAAGAGGGAAGGAGAAAGAAGGAGTAAAGAGGTAAAGAGAAATCGGCGGTTTCCAGCTTCCTGTTCGTGCTTATCAGCGGAACGCGGCGAGCTGACGGAACGCGACGTTGCGAATTCCCGTCTCCGAATAATACGTGCGTTTTTCGTTCTGTCTCTTTTTGTGTGACGTGTACTTATCAGGAGAATGAACCATTTAAAAGGCAACATCGAATCCTGGAGAATTCTGGACGAGCGGAAGTACAATGTCGCCTTTTAAATGCCTTTGTATAGAACGAGATTTCGGGAATCTTTCGCCCAAGTCCCTCTCTGTATCCAAATTGAAACTGTGTAGTATAGTTGAAAGTTGGACACCCCTTGGTGATGAAGAGCACACAAGGGTGTGACGAGAGTGAAGAGTCTCTTTTTATGTCGCGATATAAATTCGGAACATCGCGACGTTTCTTTTTTCTTTTTTTCCGTAACCTTCGAAAGGCTACAATGGAAATTGAACGGTCGGATATTATTTTATGTCTCAAGAAGACACGCGAAAAGACGTCTCGATATCCTTTAATCAAGACTTGAATCAAGCGATTAGATTAAATCGATTTAATTGAAGCAAAGCGAACGTCTCGAAGCTAAATGGAGTTTCACAATCGGGATGTGTCAGAATAGTTCTTAATTAAAAAAAAAAAAAAAAGAAAAACATGTACGCCAAGTATATAAAAAATACGTCGTATGTTCCACTCTAAAATCTTTTTTAAAAAATGTCTGTCTTTCTAAACAAAAACCAAATATTAAATCATACAATTAACGAAGCATTTGATTAAATATACAGCGTAAAAAAAGCATACAATTTTTTAATAAACACTTCAAGTATAACATGTTACTCCGAATAATTTTTCTAAAAGTGTACATTAAGGCTGTCCAAAATCAAATATTAGATCAATTAGCTAAACTAAACGTTCAATTAAATATAAAGCACCAAAGTATTTTATATATCATACATAATCGGGATGTCTACAATCTATAGGCAGAATTGATTGGTCATCGATTTAACGTGCAAATGGACGCTCGGTGCAATGATAGAAAGGGCGGTGAACAACTCGATTTACCCCAATTCGGACTGCACGAGTCCGGTGACGATTTCCTGCAGGGCGAGCGTAATCGGGAACCCCCGTATAAATTCCCCGCAGGAGAGCTTGCGCAGCCTTGAAGGGCTTACCACGCCGAGGGTCAGTTCCCATGGTGACCGTGGCGGTGAGCCCTTCGTGGGGCGAAGCAGGGCGGGCAGACAGTCTCGCGCCTGGCGTGAAAATTGTTGTCGGCGCCCCCGCGGCCTTCGCTACTATTTTTACCGGCCTTCGCGTGCGACAGCGGGGTTGTAAGCGAGTGTTCGTTTCGTGCGGAAGCGCCAGAGCAGCGTGAGTCACACCCGATGTGCGCTTTGATTTCACTTCGTTTTGCTTGCCTGCCTGCTTGTCTGTCTGCCTGCCTGCCTGCCGTATCTGTCTGCCCGTTGGGTGGGGTCGAACCCGCGCGTTCTAAGAGTGTATGATATGACATATCGAGAATCGGGGAAAAAGCAGAGTCGATTCACACTCCTCTGGTATATATTTTATTCGGCTCGTGTTTTCCAATCCGTGAAAATCGATTTGTTCTGTTTGACTGATGACGTTGTTCGCGGTCTGTGTCAACTTTCCTCCCATCTATTTCCGTGAAATTGAAATGGAGGTCTAGTATATGGATGATGTAGTAGAGGTAGTAGAAGTAACATTTGAAATAAGTGCACTTCTAATTACATAGGCCAGATTCTCATTTCTTCTTTGTGTTTTTCTTGTTTTGCGGTAGTCCTTATAACTCCAATCAGGCCCGTTTACGATGAAAGGGTCAAGATTGTCAAGAGGCTTAATAAATTTCCTGAAGTGTAATGTCAAATGTATCAGTGGATTCATTAACGACTCGAAGCATTTTTCCTAAAGACCTTCAACCGAATCTATCATTTGCTTATGCAGCTATAATTATAATTCTTGTTATCGCATTTTTTTTTACACCACAAATTTCTAATTTAAAATAAAAATGTGTAATTTTTTTATGACATATATTTGTTCAGAAATCTTTTCAAGAACTTAACACTATTGGGTGTTTTCCAGCAAGAACACGATCAAACACTGTGAATCATTCCGTCCTTATTTAACGTAGGCAAACGACAAAGGTGTAATAATTTACTGTGTCTGACTGTGTCCTTGCTGGAAAGCACCTATTGTCAGCCGAAACAAAGGCTGTGTTCAGCAGAAAAAACAGTTTTGCAACTGTTGTGAAATACTTTAATACGATTGGTCTTGCCCTTAGTTTCTCACTGGAATTAAATGTATAAACCAGTTATACATGCCAGAGTTTTACAACAGTTTCAAAACTGCTTTTTCTGCTGAACGCAGCCGAAGTCCATCGACAGCACGTTGTGCGAAAGAACGAATAAATGTCTAGAATAAATACAATATATAACGTCAGACTGGCGCTATCACCATGAGATTAATGCATCGTATGATTGTGCATCAGTGGGAGTAACAACCGCGGCTATCCAACGTTATTAAGGCGTTATTATACGAGGTACAACAAATCCCCGATACTATTATAATAAATGTAGTCATTTTTATGACTGGTTAATTTAAAATATTTTTAAAATTCCACACATTATTTGGATTTCAATGTCAAATTATTAGATTTCTTAAACCCTACTTATCTTATAGTAATCGAGCTACATATAACCGTATGCACATATAATATACTTGTACGGTGGGTAATGTACACTTTGCACCTTTGTTTCTTCCTTCCGTTCGACGAAAGGAATACGACGAGACACAATACATTCATCACAACTAGTTTAGTACGGTCGCTTTTGCCAACGTTGGTTAACTTTGAAATAACATGGCTTCTCTGACAATTTCAAATTATACGAGAAAGTGCAATTATATCCAATTGTTACAGCGAAGAAGTGCTCTCGGTTGTAATGTACACTTACTTATCTCTTTGTTACACAAATTTTTTTAAAGCATATCTTGTTAAATCTTAGTACACTTTGTGATTTCTGAATTCACTGATTCCAAATTTTTAACGTTTGACTTCAAATTGGGAATCATTGAATTCGAAGTCAAAGTGACAGATTTGATATAGTAGCTAAGTATGTAAATTAAATTAAACAAAAAAGTTATGTATGAGTTATATTTTTAAGTTTTTATTAGAAACTTTTTAATTAAAAAATGATTAATTTTGATAATTTTATAATATTTTATGAATACTGTAATATATTTTGTCGTATCTTTGTAGGTTTCTAAAGCATCTAATTTGTTTTTTTTTTTAAATTTATGTATTGGACGTTTGTTTTTTTTTTTATATGGGAGACAGGCAGAGCTTAACGTTGAGTCAGCTCTTCCTCCCACCCTTATATATCTAATTTTCTGTCAAATTAAATACCGATGATGAGAATAAATCATTTACGGTCAAGCTGGATCTTGGATGCTTCTAATATAATTTTCGTGTGAATTTATATGTTACATATTTAGAGCTCTAAATGCGCGCCGAAATTTTTTCAGACTTACAAAACGCAAACTAATAAACTACTGAGCACCTAATTAGCACCAAATTAACTGTATACCTTTGGAATATATTAAAATTTATTTATTAGCACTATAGTGAGGGCTAACTTAATAAGAATTATTTCGAGGGTTTTTCTAGAAAGAATGACATTATATAAACCTTACGTGAGTGTTCGTAATTTTAAAGGAAACAGCAAACTTTCAAAACCTTCTTGCGTTAGTACGAGCTTAAGAAGCGATAGAAAAAGATTCTTCCAATTTTTCAAATCGTAAAATTCGATTAAAAATTTGTGTTCCTTTCAAGAATGTTTATTTTTTATAATACATTTCACATTTAATATATATTTTACACACACGTATTCTGATTCTTCAAGCATGTCTCATATCATGAGGAGCACGTAGGACATAAAATTCTGACGTGAATTACGGTAGACCGTGCAAAGCCTCGTGCAATCTCGCGTGATCGCCTCGAGTATACGGAATAATCGCACTTTTCGACCGATTTACTCCGATACGTCTGAGCGGAAGGGAGTGATACGGTAACGGTACACCCTGTGTGTACATTATACTCAAATGAAACGTCATTTTATCCCTGCGCGATGTACCGGACGTCTATATACCGTTCGTTACTTCTCGCATTATGCCACGTCGAACACGCGGCGCGACACGGATCTTGCCTCTGGCATTCTTTTTCCTCCCGTTTTTATTTATGCCTTATAATCTTGCACTGGTGAAGTCTTCTTTTCACGCACCTTTCCGAACGCGTAACGGATTCCGCTGCCGACTCCTGGACGCGACAGAGGGGGGGGGGAGGGGGCTCGCGTGACTTTATCGCCGCGACTCCGACAGAAGCTTAGCTAAATCGCTTACCAGACGTTACGCTGGAGCGTAAACGCTATGCGGATTTTCTCCAATTAGTGTCAATATCTCGGAACGAGAATACTAGGTATGTCGTTCTTATTACGATATAATTTGGAGGCGGAAGCAACTAATTAAATGCTTAGATGTATATTAGTCCTTTTTTTCGAATTAGATGTTCTTTCTAGCATAGAGATTGTTCTTGCTTTGATTAGTGTAGAATTTTCACGCGCTGTACTTTGCTTCTTATATTTTTATATTTTTCACGACTCAATTAAGGCTGGAATCGATAAACAATGGCCTGCAAGCTGTGTCTATTTTTTTTTATATAGATGTAATTATCAGATTGTGACTTTTGTTGACTTGTCCGCAAAATTTTCCAAAGTTCACGTGTGGGTTAATTGTGTCGGGAAATCTTAGCCTCTATGATTTCCCAAAGGAATTTGGCGAAATTAAGATCTTATAAAACCAGAGCGTCCACGTCGATTTAAAGAATTTTGAGTACACCTATTACACGTCGTAAAAGAAAGCATCAAATTATCTTAAGGAGGTATCTTATGGCGGCACTCAAATTCTGAGACTTCTAAGCGCTACATCTTTTTATCTATTGATTTTATGTGAATGTGGCAATGGAGACATCTGTTCAGAATTACAAGAAGTATACATCATATCTCAAAATGGAGCAATTTGACCGAAGTCATTTTTCCATATAAAACGTGCGGGGTCCTTTATTAAAGTTGTCTTACGTTGACATACCGTTTTTTAGAGCTGCTCGCATCGTTATATGTTCATCGTGTATTTGGGCTTGTAAAAGTGCCTTTGCGGTTGCGTTCAGCAGAAAAAGCAGCTTTGCAATTGTTGTAAAATTCTTGAATATGATTGATTTATACATTTAGATTTAATAAGGAATTAAGGACAAAGCAATCATATTATTGTTGTAAAAAAATTTTACAACAGTTGCAAAGCTGTTTTTTCTGCTGAACACAGCCTCTGTTCGTCAAGTTTGGGTGAAGTAAGCCCCTACCAATGGGATAAACTTACTGTTATTTAGGTAATTCTATATCCGACTGGCTTACGGATCTGCTTTCGAATCTCTTTATTACTAACAGTTATTTATTTATCTACCGTTTATTTGGTTCAATGGCGCGGCGCAAAGAATTGATAGCCTTAATATTTTTAATTAAAAAATTATTAAAATGTATTAATTATTATTAAGATAAAATTGATCAATCTAGTTAAAATTGACTAAGTAAATTTAATGCTACGAAATCGAAGGTATATAAAGATTTTTAATTCCTGCGATCGAATCGTCGTCGAATTTTTGTCCTCGTGTTTTAATGTTGTTCGTCCGCTGCGGTTGAAAGTAATTTCCGTTCGGGTTCGTGATAGGAAAATTTAAGAGCAAACCCATCCGATCGTATTGACAAAGCGACGCTTGCTTTCACTTATCTACTACACTTGTAGTTCAGAATTTTTGTATCAAATGGTAGTTATTTTTCACACGTTGAATCGTAACGCTCTCTTCGAGACTGCTTGCATAAAACATTCTAAAATTGCGATGGATATTTATAATAATAAAAAGCGAATTAAGAAAAATGAAAGACATTTAAATATTTATGTATGATTTTTATTAACAATAGTTATGTATTGTTCCTTTTTCAATATCTAATCACTCCAGACTCAACTTCTACTTGTATAAAGCGATTACAAAAAATAATTTTTCAATTTTTAATAGATTTTACAGAATTTTTACTTGTGACGTGAGTAATACTGAGTTTATTGATTTAAAACTAGTCTCTTTTTGGTTGTCAAGCTATAAACCTCTAGAATATCACGGTCACGCTTGCCTTGTATAAAAACCAAAGGAAAGAATTCCTTTTACGAGTTTAGTCTCCTCTGTTATTTTTGGGTGTAAACTTTTTCAAGATATAATTATGTGAATACTTTGATCGGGAAATTAACATGTAATTATCTCGAAATCATCAACTTATTAATCTCCGTGAGTCTTGATTTTAGAATTATTTTTGTATTACAGTACAATATATATTATATTATACACCGGTTCAATGACATGTTGCGTTTCGAGCAACTCGGTTCTATCTGCCATTTACAGTAAACAGCTTCGCGACTTGTAGCGGGATATTTTACGTATAAAGAACGAACTAACTTTCAATGTTGAAAAATTTTGATAAAATGGGCACAGAAATCGAGTTAGATTAAGTAGTTAAATGTCGATTTAGGTCGCTTATAGATTAAGTTCTTCAATTTCGTACTTGGTTCTTCTCTTTCAGATACGGATGTACCGGTTAAATTAACGGTTAAAACCGCACGAATAGCAAAGGCTAATTTAACAGGTGAATTGATCTCGAGTTACCGGCAAGAAAGATTTTCGAGATATACGAGATTGAATTTCAAATGATAAAGCTGAATGTGAAAATGTGTAATTTAATAAAGTCGCGTGAACTTCGTTGTATGTATAAATTTGCCATTATCAGGTGTAAATACAACTGGTATACAATTAGTACAAATATTCTATACATCTTATACTATTTTTGTGAGATATTTTAAATGTGTTTTTCAAATAACGTCCACTAATCATATAATGTTCTTCCTGATAAAAGATAACTGCAATTTAAAACGACGCGTGTAATTTGTGTGAGATATTTAGGATTTCTTATATTGTGTTTCTACACGCAGGTATGTTGAAAAACAAAAAGATTCAATTTGCTTTATCTCAACGAAAACAGACTCATTCTATCCTCAACTTGAAATTTTCTTGTGATTGATGTCTCATCATCACACATCATTACAATTTAGTTTTAAAATCGCGGGACCTAAATGTGCGAAAAAAATCACTGATTTAGCTTTTACTCCGAGAAAAGTAAAAACTTCTTGAAAGGGATTTTGGGAACAGACGGTGCACGTTAATGTTACAGCGTAAGGATGCAGCAGAATTGCGATCGCGTGCCGTGAAACTGGAGGAAAAACCGAAGTAAAATGATGCGAAATCGCTGCATAACAGGTGCGAGCGGAATGCGGAGAAGCGAGGCTTGGCGAACGCTTATCCGGCAAATAACAGCAAATACATATTTCGCTCCGAGTCGCGAAGAGCCAGACGTCGCGTTCGCTGGTAATAGCGTTAGGATGAGACTCAAAGAATCAATACGCGCACAACGTAAAGGCCACCCACCCGTATTTCAATGTCCCTCGTATACTCTCTTCCATAGACTTTTACGTCACATATGTACGCGAAGAGAACGATAATTAAGTATATATAAAAATTAGTCAGATACAGATCTGAAAATAATTATGTTGAATCAATTCAAGCTAATAGTTAGCAACTAGAATGTCAAAACTTTTGCCGGACTTTTTGTAGCCGTCGCTCGTTATATATTAAACAGTGATTACAATCAAAGTCGCGTATAATAACGCTCACCGATTTCAATGTCCTTAAGATATGTTGTAGGGGAGAGTGTCCTGAATGATTCCCCACAAGAATTCAGTGGGGGACGGCGCTGGTTTAGGAGATATAATAAATTAAAGTTCTATAATATGTATAGAAAATAATACTGATGTAAGGGGTATAATACGAATAGTGAAATTTGTATATACTGCATTGAGAGATCTCTAAAGAAAGTAAACAAGGTCAAAGTCACACAATCACAAGTATTTTGTGAACAGTTAACGTACGTTCACTTATTGAAGTTATCATATGTCCTAAACTAATCCCGTCTCCTATTTAATTCTTCTTGTAGAAAATCACTCAGAACACTCTTCTTCCCTACAACATATCTAAAGGATATTGAAATCGGTGAGGTGTTACCTAAAATAGATATTTACCGAACATAATTTGTATTGAAATTTACTTCATAATGAAAGATCGCAAGCAGCATTTGTAAAAAATACATAATTTCTCAATTTCCATTATCCTCGAGTAATTAACAAATATAATAAATTGAGAAAATGCATTTATTAGTATTAAAATACTTATAGTTTTTGAAGTGACGCGTTTAAGTTGTATCATTCAAAAACACAGATACTTCATCTTGCGATGCAAATATCTTGTTGAATACTCACTTACTTATGCAACTCATTTTTTAAGAAACAGAACAATTCTCATCGAATGTTTTTACATAAACATAAGAGTCTTGAAAAATGAACTGGTCAATTTTCAATAATAATAATAATAATAACTTAATGAATACAAAACTTATTCAATATTTCTGATCAATTCCTGGGGAAAATATAATGTATAATATTTTTCTTTTATCCTCCTTTATTACTGAATAATAATAAATATGCTTTGGAAATTATTATTAAATTTTATTTTTTTCCTCAATTTAAATGATTTCTCTTCTCTGAGTTCCGTTAAGAATAAAACGGTTCATCAATCTTTCTAACAATACAACTCTTATTCAATGCGCTTGTTGCAATTGGGTGGCAATTTCTCATTATCATCCAGCAGAATGAGCAGTTTTATTAAATTCATCAAAATCATTGAGAACAGTGCAAAACATTGAATACTGAAGTACTATTAAATGTAAGAAATGGATTGTTGATTCCTATTTTTGAGAACCCTGGTCGTTTAGTTTAAATACTAACGACTAAATAAAAAAACTATTACATATTCTTACTTAAAACCACTAATGCGGGTCTAGAATAAAAGTCGTAGATGGTTGTGGAGTCTTAAATCGTAGAAAATTGACTAATTGTAGTTGAATATGAGGAGAATAATCGATTATGATTGGTCAATTTCCTATGATTTAAAACCCTACGATCATCTACTATTATAGACTCTGCATAAGTCTCATATTAAGAACAATCCACAAATGATATTTTTATGAAAAGTAACGTTACTGTTGCATCGGATAAAGTTGAATATAAACAGAAAAGTTTGGTATTCAAGACAGTAATACATATATTTTTGGGATTTAACAAGAGAACTTACTAACGATGTTTGAACTAATAAAATGAGAAAAAATGGATATATTTCAACGCTGTACAAAATAAGTTTATACTGCAGTAATGGGTTGCTGGCTACCCTACTGGAAAAAAAATCACGTCACAAAATTACATAACGAAATCATGTAATTAAGACAAATAAATCACATAACAGATTGTTCCAAATCCAGTTTGTGATTTTTTAAATTATGTTTATGACGTTTGGAATAGAGACTGTTATTTAATTGACATACGTATTTATTTCAGACGTTAAGAACCTGCTTGGTATACATTTCGATAGTGGCAGTAACTGAAATACGACAATACGATGCAGAGCAACGGATCGGAGACTGTAGGATCCGAGAATGGAGTCGACAAGTCAGGATGGACGGTGTGTACTGAGAGAGAGATTAATTGAAATTAGCTTAATATATAAATTAAGTAGCTTGCCGAAGTTATGAAAACATCTCCATCACTGATATTCAATCTATAGTTATCTTTTTCATCTCTTTTGCATAAAATTATCTCACAGATATTTAATTACAATTAATTACGGATAATCGATAAAATAAATAGAATGGAGATCTATTATATATAAATAACCTAATGCCAATTCTTTTATATTCTGTATCATCAAATCCACTATTATAAGAGACAGCGAGTAGCCCATTATATAACTATACCATATATCCAGAAAGAAACATGATAGAGATTTAGATAAACGGGATCACATATACAGCGCTCAAAGAAACAGGAAACGATTAGTTCAAGAAAAGAATTATTTTTGTTCAATAACGTATATTCTCATTTAAATTATTTTTAATTATTCAGCATGTTTTAAAATAGTAAAACAAAGTAAATAAAATATATAATAATTGTAGATGTGATGTCTTCCAGGTTGGGTTAATTAATGGGAAGTTTAAGTATCTAACGGCGGAGACGTTCGGTTTTAAAATCAACGCTAATGGATCGAGCCTGAAGAAAAAACAACTATGGACTCTAGAGGGCAGCGAGCATCAGGTTTTCCTTCGTTCACACTTGGATCGATACCTAGCGGTCGACCAGTTTGGTAATGTGACATGCGAGAGCGAGGACTCGTCGGATCCGGGATGCGCTTTTCAAATACAACTTGCTTCCGATGGTATTTGAGATTCACCTTGTTTAATTTGCATGAAATGTTGAAAAAATTTTTTTATACATTTTAATCGCTGGAAACTCTTCGAAATAGACACAATAACAATTAACGTGTTACAGAACTATTGTATAAAAAAATTTTTTTTATTAACTTAGTTATATGTATGTCAAAATTGTTTTTTATATGTATCAGGAACTCTAGATATTCACTAAGTAGAACTATTAAGCTGCTCAGAACTATTCAATCTCGAACTTCAATAAGAAGTTAGCACCCCACTTTTTAAAAATTATTAAAGAGTTATTAATAAACGAATCTCATATTAAAAAGTAAGAGAACTTTTTGTCTCGTCAAAAGGAAATGGGAAATCTAATCAGAACTTCTGAGTACTATAGTTAGGGTGCTAACTTCACATACCCGTCAGACGGATATTCCAATTATCCAGTATCAATCGGAGCTCTGTATAATGAATATAAAAGAGTATATTGGTGATTTTCTTAAGACAATTGTAACAAATTATAGGCAGCGGGCGATGGGCTCTAAAGAACCTCCAGAGGGGCTACTTCTTAGGCTCGAGTCAAGATGAATTAAAGTGTACCGCTAAGGCTCCAGGCGAGGCGGAATATTGGCTTGTACATCTTGCCGCTAGGCCGCAGGTACATCTTATGTGCTAGTTTTGAGATTTCGGACGCAAATGAAGCGTTTACGGCACACCGTTTTACACTATCTAGTCATCGTTACAAACACAACTTCGTTAATAACTGTACTTTCTCATGCAACTGATTTTCCTTAACAGTTTTGATTTGTTCCGACGTCACTTATTCTTTTACAATTGTACGGTATTTTTATATAGGGTGACGTTGAACTATCGATTTCTTTCCAATTTCCTTTGATTAATTTGGAAATAATTTTTTGTTCGAGAAATGCTGGAAAAAATTTGCTGAATTAATCCACGTTATGGAACATTTTTTCAGTAAAATTTCAGCGATTTTTAGCTGGAAAATTTATTTTCAACAAAATTTCAAAGGAATTTGTCAATTCAATTTCAACAATTTTTTAATATGATAGCTGAAAAATTCACTTTCAGTGAAATTGTAGCAAATTTTCAGCAATTTTGCTGAAATTTTCCAAAACGTGGAATAATTTTTCAACACGTCTGCTTAGCTGGCCCTCTCACTTAACCAAATCTCAATTTTAAAAAAAGCATAATAATGTGCTATTTATGCGCTATACATATCCGCAAATAAAAATTTTTACGCTCATTCCGTTTAGCTAAAAAAAAATTTTTGTGGGGTGGCTGAGTAGGCAGCAAGTCAGCCCCCCCACCCGTTAAAAATAATCAAATTGGAAAATTGAAAACACAGGATTTATGCGCTATTATTTCCAAGCATTTTCGATATTTGCGCTACAACCCTTAAAAATCCTGTGTTTTCAATTTTCCAATTCGATTATTTTTAACGGGTGGGGGGGTCTGACTTGCTGCCTACTCAGCCCCCCCACAAAAAATTTTTTTTATGTAATTTTTTATTCGTTTCGGAGAAATAATAAGTAAACTCAGAATGAACTGAGACTTTCAAAACCCGGAATATTCGAATAAAATTCGAAAAGATGGTAACTTAATTAAGCATTGACTTGATTGTTTAGGTGAATCTTCGATCGGCCGGAAGAAAACGTTTCGCACATTTGAGCGCCACTCAGGATGAAATTCACGTGGATGCGCCAGTACCGTGGGGTGAAGATACCTTGTTTACTTTGGAATTTCGTCCAACGACTGGTGACGACAATAGTCACGGAAGTCATTCTAAGTCCGAGGGTGGTCATTATGCGCTACATACTTGTAATAATAAGTACCTCGCGCGTGATGGCAAATTGCTGGACTCTTGCACGCGAGACTGCCTCTACGCTGCGGAATTTCACGCTGGTCTTCTCGCTCTTCGGTATTACTTCGATAATTATATCATTTCTTTATATCTTTTATATATCAGAGCCTTCCTTGATAAAGACAATCTTTTATTAGCAAGAAAAAAACTGTGTAATTGTTTCAAGTTTTAAATTAATTTCATTGTTAATTAAACCTTATAATATCACAGTAATATTGCAATATATCAGAATACTGCAGAACTTTTCCTCCAACCCAATAATATTATACTGTGATATGTCAGTAATATCTCTGCAATATTTCTGCTAGATTTCGTTATAATATTGCAATCGAAAAATGATATTGCTGTGATATTACGTGTTATGTAGGACATTTTAACGAATGAAACTGATTGAATTTGTTTCTATAAATTAAAATTTACAGGGATATACATGGTGCGTATTTGGCACCGATCGGAAGTAAAGCTGTTTTGAAATCCAGATCAACAACTGTTACGCGCGACGAACTCTTTTCATTGGAAGAATCCCTGCCGCAGGCATCCTTCGTTGCAGCGTTGAATCAGCGATATGTTTCTGTAAAGCAAGGTGATTATTTCGTTATATAGGATGAAAGTGATTGAAAATTAATCACGATCCTTGTTCCGATTGATTAGGCGTTGATGTGACAGCCAATCAGGACGAGATCTCCGGCCACGAGACATTCCAGTTGGAATTCGACCGAGTGACGAAACGGTGGTATGTACGAACAATGCAGGACCGTTACTGGAGTCTGGAGGCAGGTGGGGGCATACAGGCATCAGATCATAAGCGCTCATCGAATGCGCTTTTCGATCTAGCATGGCAATCAGAAGACGGCACGGTTGCGTTGCGTGCGAATAATGGCAAATTCCTTGCCACCAAGCGATCCGGCCATCTCTACGCGAATGCAGAGTTGAATAGCAATGACACTGATGCCGCCAAGTACTATTTCTACCTGATGAATCGGCCCGTGCTGGTATTGCGATGCGAGCAGGGCTTCGTCGGGCCCAAGAGTGCAGCCAGTCCAAAGCTTGAATGTAATAAGGCTGTTTATGAAACGATTCGTGTCGAACGATGCGAGCGTGGCGAAGTCAGATTTAAAGGTGATTGCTTTTCTTTAATTCATTTAACTCGTTTTGTTACTGCAAAAAAGAGACAGAAGTTTTTTTGTACGGGACTTTTCGATTCAGTTTAGTCCACTCTACCTACTTACGAACGTTATTAACAGAATTACGAAACATCCTCTATAATGATAAATATAGGACGATAAGAAGAACAATCAACTCATTGTATTGTATATTATCTGCCTCTTTCACTTCGGATTAATTATATCATTCGTTTATTTATCATTTTACAGGACAAAATGGTAAATATTGGCATGCGGACAGCGAGGGAGTGACCGTGGATTCAGATATGCCGTCTGACGGCTTTTATTTAGAGCTGCGCGAACCGTCACGCATCTGCATCAAGTGCGTGGATGGCCGATATCTCACCGCGGGCAAGAACGGCGCGTTGCGTTTAGGCGAGTCAGACTTTGAGTCCGCTACGAAATGGGAGTTCTAATGCGGAAGATAAAACGTAAATGCAATAAAATGCATATTCAACTGCCTCCTTCAGCTTTGTGGTCGTAACTCGTAGCACCGTGTCCACGGAACAGTAACGACGAGAGATTGGCAGTTTGCGCTGTTTCCTGCCGCATACTTAATTGAGCATGCTGTGTCGCGTTAAAACGACAGTTTTCGATATTCGATGTTCCACTCCAATATATACTTTTTTTTCTTAGTAAAGTTTCGTGAATCCGCAGTATATCCAAGACTGGCGGTTTATACAGATAACGTAAAAGTTCGAGAAACATTCAAAGGACCGGCTATTACAATTACGGTCTATTTTATAAGTAAAATACACTTTTATATCTTTTTATATTTATAGATATATACAGTTGCTACACTGCAAATTCAATTTTATATCGATGCTCTTCGTGTGTATTTATACGTTTATATGCATAATCCTAAGATATTGATCATAGAATTGGTTTAACAATCGTTATTAATATTCTTGTTAGTTTATGTTGTCTTATTCTCTGAGACAAAAGAAATTTATAAGTATAAATCGATCAACATCAGTGCATCAAGAAAGAAGAACAGATTTTTTTCTGCTCACAGCGTAGTAATGAGTTTTTGCTATCGTTATGAGTACATTTTTGATATATTAAACAGATTATTTAAAAGGATATATATGTATATATAATTATATACAGAGTGAAGTGTCTAAAACAGGACACCTAAATCGTTTGTTTTTGATGATACGAAAAAGTATTTCAGATAAAAGTGGAACGGTTTCAAGTAGAACGTTTTTAGGTGTTGTCTAGGTGCAGGCACTAAAAAGATATGACGTTACCTCCACTTTTTTAAAATGGAATTACGTGACTTTTTTACATAATATGATTTCTTTAACAATTCTGCATATAAAAGTATGTAGGTACAAATATAAAAAATTAATAGTTTACGTGATATTTGATACTTTATATCAACGTATGTCAGATTAAAGTATAAAATATCTCGTAAACTATTAGTTTTTTTATATCTGTACCTTCATACTTGTATGTGCAGAATTGTTAAAGAATCATATTATGTAAAAAAAGTCACGTAATTCCATTTAAAAAAAGTGGAGGTGATCTTCACATCATTTTGATGCCTCTGTCTAGATGAAAAACAACACGACGAAAACATGTCCTCTTTGAAACCGTTCCACGTTCATCTGAAACATTTTTTCGTATCATCAAAAAACAAATGAGTTATTTAGGTGAAAGACCCCTGTTTGAGATGTTCACCCTGCACACATACATACACATATACACGCGCGCGCGCACACACGCACAGGGTATTCAGGGATAAGAGCCCGTTCATGCGATACGGTTTTTTGACCGTTTCGGTAATTTTATCGAATCGATATTTTTACCGTGCTCTACAGTGGCAATACATTTTATATGGACGCGTTCACACGATACGGTTCGGTAAAACTAGCGAAATGGTAAAAAAACAGCCGTATCATGGCCGTATCGTGTGAACGAGCTCTAATGGTCCGTACTGTTTTTTTACATTTCCGACAGTTAAAAAGAAAGGTTGAAAGAAAAATAAATATTCAACTGTTTCATGTGGACATGCCATTAAAGATTTAAATTTTTTTTTAATAAAAAAATTTGTTCATGTTGAATTTTTTAAATAGTATCGTATAATTTTTTCCTTAATATTATAAAAGTCTTCAAGATGAATTCAACTTATTGAATTCGTCTTGAAGATCCCTATGGAAAAAATTGTATGATGTTATTTAAAAAATTCAAGATGACCTTAATTCTTTTATTAAAATAATTTTTTCTTAATTTTTTATCGCATATTGTAGTTCGCGTGAAACGTATAAATATTCACTTTTCAAATTTCTTTAACTATGTCTAAAAAATCATATGGATCGTTATACTGAACACTCTGTATACACGTATACACATGTATAAAAAGCATCGGAACTACTTTTTTAAAAAACCTATATTTAAAAAGTATAGATAAATAGTTTAAAATTTAGTTCCTAATATTGTAAAACAGAATTTCGTAATATAAATTTTTATTTTTAAAGAAAAGATTTTGTATAGGATTTTGTAATACTCGATTCTTATGGTTTAGAGAGATTAATTAATCATATTATTAAACTAATAAAGATTAAGTAAATCGAAATTTATATTTACGATTGTTGTATGTATGTTTGGAAAATAAATTAATTTATTACTTAATATATTTTATTGCTCGTTATAGACCTTTATATTACGAAATTTTGTTTTAAAGATATAGGTTTTATTAAAAAAATGTTTTAGACAAAAGTAGGGTTTTAAAAATCTTAAAAAATTCGTGAAACAATACTCAATCAGGTATCTTATTAGAAAAATATTAATATGCTGATTTATTTACTGATCTTATTATTCAGTTTGACCTTGGATGGCGTCGCCAAAATCAGATCAAGATCACATATACTTTTTTTAAATAGAGATCTAATTTTTTATTGCATATTCTTATAGCTCGAGAGCTTTTACAACACTATAAAAACATGCTCTCTATTAAGTACTTTTTGAATTATAAGGCTTGAAAGTATATGACTTTGAACAATGTTTACAAGCTTTTGACCATCAATTGAATCTTAGATAATGCTAATATTAACGGTGTTATAAGTTTCAAGCCTTATAACTAAAAAAATACTTAATGAAAAAAAGTATTTTCTTATAGTATTTGAAAAAGTTCTTGAGAGCTTATAAGCTTGAGATAAGCAATAAAAAATGAGATATAATAATACAAGAGTATGCAATAAAAAATGATTTCTATTTTTAAAAATCGATGTGATTTTATAATGTCTCCAAATCAATCTAATAAGATCAGTAAATAGAGTACAATTTTTGTTTCAAATTTTTTTTTTATAAAACATATTTCGAGATATTCAAGAGTTTCAGTACTTTTTATACATCTCGCGCACGCGCATATATACATATAAAACAATTAAGAGAATGCATGTTTAAAAAGAGGCAGATCCAATTTGACCAGTATCAGATTGCTGCCTCCCAGATTGGTATCATCTTGCAGATTCCGTTATCGAGACACATCTGTTACGATCATACAAGTTAGGAAAAGCTCGTTTAACGAGATGCACACTCAGTTATATTGTACTAATAGTCAGGGAATGGAAGTAACTCGTTACAAGTTACTTTTTTGGGTAATTTTACTGATAACTAATGTTATTTTTTCTTTTTGGTAACTGTAATGGTAACAGTTACCGTTACATTATTTTAAATAACAATAACGAATTGTACAATAACTTTTATCGTTATTTTGCATTGATTAGACACGGTTCGATTGGAATTTTTTTACACTTCTATGTGATAGGTATATCCAGATAAATATCTCATTGTCAATTTACCGGTCTCAGAATTAAGAAATTATTATTTTTTTTTTTTAAGAAAAAACTAAAAAGCAAAGCTAGTATCATTATTGTATACTGCTTTTATTAATATTTAAACAAAAATATTGCAAAAGTACATTTTTTATACTTACTTTTAAAACGTAACGGAGAACTAATAAAGAGTTACTTTTGCTTTAAGTAACGATAACTAGTTACTTTTTCTACTTGGTAACGAATAACAAATTTTATGTTGTTATTTTTAAACAGTAACTTACCATTCCATGCTAATAGTACATAGTATTATCCTGCTTCACACGTATTAGCTTACTGTGTATGTTAAGCAAATAAAATATGCCGAATAAAGGCTTGGTGATGGACATACTCGCAGCACATGGATTTGTGAAAATCTGTTCGCTTTTTCCTTTTTTTTTTTATGTTTATGGGGATATTTTAACGGATGTCGCGTGTGTTTTAGCAGTAAGATTTTATTTTAGTCTCTTCGTTTTTTTCGTAACAACGAACAAAATCGTCAGAATCATAATATAATTTAGGAGTATAATACGTGGAATAAAATTAAGAATTCTTCAGATAGATTATTTCAAGAAAAAAGGAGAAATGTGTGTGTGAGAAAGAGAGAGAGAGAGAGAGAAAGGAAGAGACATTAAAATATGTCAGTCTCTTGTAAATATGTTTGCCTCTTCAATATCATTATATTATCGTAATTATAGCATAATACTATACGTGCATCTCGCGTCGCTTAATTTTAAACAAGAACAAAACATAAGTATGTGCACGATGCAAAAAGCGAACAAAAATATATGTTAAATATTTTACTTTTTTTGAACAAAATGTTGCTTAGATGTATGGGTCGGATTGCCGACGACGATACACGTATTATTACTCAATTATCTCTTTTTACTATTTTTTCACGATAGAGCCGCATTAAGAACAATGGATGTAATAAATTAAAAGATGTAATAAGATAATTTTTTATTGGTCAAGACTTTACCGCCGAATTATTTCAACCACACAAATGTAGTTCCTTTCGTAAACTGATTTACATATATACAAGATTATGTACAGGTCTGCTGTTTTCCGTTTCAGTAAGATTCTTTGATTCTTTAACTAGTTTATACAAAAATCGTAAGATACATGAACCATCCTTATTTAAAGATCAGTTTAAATGATTATTTTACATGTTAAAATTAAAGAAGCAAACTTTTAGCGGCTAGTTAAACCCATTGCTGCGCAACATTCATTGAAGTTTGTTAAAAATGTTTCTCCAAGACTTTCAAAGTCAACGATGGAAAATTGTGTTAGATATCAGTAAGACAAAAGTTGTACTATAATTTATATTAATATAAAATATTTATTAAGCTGCTATTCGTTGTCTTCGAGCAGCTCGATCCTCTATTTCTAGATAATACTTATTAAACATTATTTTTAATATCGGGTACATCAAAGGCAACAAGGGCAAATGCGACAAACTAATATGCATATTGTCATACGCAATGCCGACGTTATCTAGTTTAGGACCATTTTTGTTGTCCGGCAAGTGAGGTATTACGGAATAGCGTTGACTAAAATGCGTCAATAGTGTAAACTTTGATCTCATCTTTTCGCCTGCTTGTATAGCCTGCGAGACCGTCGAATGAAACTTCAGTTTGGCGTCCTCTATCAGATCGTCCTCCATTGTCGCTTCATGGATGAGTAGATCGCAATTTTGACCAAGTTCCACGAGACGCTCACAGGGCATAGTGTCACCACTAAATATACAATATCACATATATAATTCATGTAGCGTCAAAAAAGAATAAAGTATCCATTTTGAATGAAATTATGAAATAATTCAAAGACTATGTTTCTATAATTGAGTGAATAATTAACTGAAACTTTAAAGAAAAGGTTTACAAAATTGCTACGCTTACCTATATACTATTTTCTTCCCATTATGGAGTGTCACGGAAACACCATAAGAATAAGGACAATGCTCGACGTATACTGTCTGTATGGCTTGCACGTTCAGTGTATTATACATGGTTCTGTACTTATACAACTCTGGGTTATGCGAGTCCATGCAGAACTCGCTGTTCTTGATCAATGTGATTCGATATAAGATGGGCTCAAAATGTGTATGATACATCTGCAGCCATGCATTTATATGCCCTGGTGCTAACAGATACAAAGGATCTTCTGTGACCTTCCTTCTCTCCTTCAGCAGGCCAATCAATCCTATGTGATGATCCGCGTGCATGTGCGATATGTACACTCCCTAAAATACCATTTGAATATTGCAAGTCGCCATTGCAGAGTTTACAAAAAAAATTAAATTATTAATTTTGGAGAGACTACTACATATATTAGTATATAAATTCACGCGAAATTTTATATATATATATATATAAGCAATTAAAGATTCAAACTAGACTGTTATAGGCTTCGTATTACTTATGTTCTTACATTAATGATCTTTAGTATTTTTTATTTTTTAAACGAAGTTATGGCTGCTATTAATAGTAATTAAAAAAAACAGATTCTCAAAGCTGAAATTTTGCTTTATCGAATGGTATAATTGTCAAATTTTTTTTTAACATGTAGACATAATATTAATACGAAAAACATTTCATACTTAACGAGCTAAAGAAATAGATGATTGTCTTACTTTTATCGTTTTTAGGATATTGTGCGTCTCAGACTTCCCGTAGATTCTTACTATCTGCCCGAACGTGCCCTCTCCGCAATCTAGTAATATACTGTGGTCTTTGTCCACTTGTAGAAGTATGCCGCTCGTGTTTCTGACTTTACTTGGTATGCTAGATCCAGTACCCAACATGACAATCTTCGGATATTCGTTGCTAATATCTAACGTTTTCGTTCGAGCGTTGATTTCTGTTTGGAGTTCCGCCAACGCATCTAAAAAGCCGTCAATCTCGAAAACTTCATTTACATATTCTTCTGGATGCAGCGATACCTCATTTTTCGTATCAAATCTCAGTTGCGGCTGTAGATGAATGGTATGATGGGTTTTGGGACGATGTATGATGGGCAGATCTTCCTCCTAAAAAAGAAGTAAATTTGTGTTTGGTTATTTATACAATTACTAGATATTTCTAAGATTAAAGAACGAGTGCATAACAATGTGCCTTACTCTTGTTTTATTTTGAAAGCTTTCCTCGTTTAAAAAAGGGAATATCTCAGGGTGCAACATATGGAGTTTGTGTTGATGTCTGTGCATCGCTTCAGTGCCCATGCATTGGTTCTCTTCATTCACGACTATATGACGCGTATTAAGACCAAATTTGCTCATCCAGTTCACATAGCGAGAATTATCTATCACTTCTTGCGGAGTAAAATGAATGACACAGTATGGTATATCATCTTCGTTCGCCGTTCCCGTCTGATGTCGTACAAAGGCAGGATGATTTACAAAAGGCTCTAAGTAATCTTCTGAGGGACACTCTACAACTGTAACCAAGTAAAGTTTAAAATAAAACAAGTAAAAGATATATTATTATAGAATGAAAACTTCTATTCCCTCACTACTACTATATCAGATTGAAGTGAGAAAGTCAGAAGTGAGAAAATATACAATAAAAATTCTTACAAACTATATTAATGTAAAAATATTGAGTTGGGTAAAGTCTTTTTACATATATTTATAAAAGAATATTTATTTTACAATATCTTTGTTAAAAATAAACGAGATTTAAATTTTAAAAAAGCGTTTTAAAGCTCGAAATTTCTACTCTTGAAAAGTTATTATATTTTTTTGAGGTTCTGTGAGTTTTTACACATAAAAAACTACAAGTTGAAAAATATGAAAAATTCTTTTCACTTTTTGGGACTTTTAAGTGCCCCCATCCTCAAAAAAAATTTGCAAAAATTTTCGACTCTCTATTGTAGAGAAACCTAAAACTTTCCTACAAAAAATCGTTTTTTTTAAATGTTCCTACGATTTTTTGTTCCTAAGTTATTCACGAGTTAAGTAAAAGAGCATTCTGATTACAATTGTTCATAATTCCGTTAAAAATCATCATAGTGCAATTTAAAAAGAAAAACATTCTTAAAGCTGAAACTTTGCTTTATAGAATAATATAATTGCAACAAAAATTTTGCAACAAATAGTGGGTTGGAGAAGGATACTTTTACATATATATAAAAAAATGTTTTCCCAACCCAATAATTTCTCCTTGAAAAACATGAAATATATTTTATACGTCTATCAAAGGTAAATGTATATTTTATTAAAATATATTTCTATTCAAAAGTAACTTGCAAGAAATTGTTTTCTTGCTTTTGATGTCACAGTCTGAGATAATACTGGCGAGCAGAAATTTTAAACACAATCGTTTGAAAAACATACTTATAAAAGTAGGACCTGGCGTTGCTGGCGAGCAAACATCCTTGCTTAAAACAACTGTGCCATCTGGAAGAGTAATATCTGCACCAGTTTTGAGCTGACCGAGTAAAGGCCCAGGTTTCACCCCCTTCTCTATACACTTCTCTAAGGATAATGTACCCGCTCGAGGATGCAATTTACAAATGTAAGACATTACAGATGATATTCTATTGTCAGGCTTCTGATCAATCTTCGGTACTTTAGACTTTTTCTCTGTTACTCTATCAGGTACTAGCTTGCCATTTGAGTTGGTCTTATAATCGTAGTAATTAATATTGATCACATCTTTTTCTATATTAATAGGCCTTGTCTGTGGCATATTTGGATTCATAATGGAAACATATGAAACAGACATAACTGAATCTACGTACGGCTCTGATTCGTTACATTTGCTCTCATTGATCTTCAGAGCCTGCAGCAGCACGGTCTTCTTGATCGTGTTGAATATCTCCATCGTCCCCTTGGGGCAATGTATATTGATCTTCGGCACCCCAGCATCCTGTATTGTCAGAAGCATTCCTGGCATGCCGCCCAAGTTATTCCAGGTTGCCGACGTTATAAAGACATGCTCCAATTTGATCAGCTTGTACTTATGCTCGTATGCCAATCTCTGCGTCCCTTCACCACAATTGAAAATGTACCTTGTGTGACCTGCTGTCAAATAGACACATCGTGATGTGCCATAAGCTCCAGTGCCAAGAATCTGTAAGTGGTAAAAAAAATATTATAATCAAACAGCATTGAATCATCACTTTCAAAACGCGGCTCTTGTTTGACTGACCTGTAATGACACCTTTGTGTTTCCGATATATTTCGTTGACTTTTCTTTTATCTTCTGTCTCATCCGTTGCATGCCGAGCATATGTTCGACGGAACGTGGCATGATCTTATTGTCGTAAATCGATGAGAATTGTTTAAAGGACGCCGGCAGATTTTGCCGAAGACATCGGCCAAGAGGAAATAACAGCAACGTGCGATAATTACGTTTTGCGACGTCACATGCAAACGAGCACACGTTGGACCTCATTCGTTCGATCAATTCTTTCTAGTAAACATATAGAATACCCGCTCCGTTCAAATTTTGATAAAAATACACTCATTCGATGCGTTTTTGCACGAAACGAACGAATCTGGCAATAAAAAGTGTCGCTCTATCCTCCGAACAGAATGCACGAAATTTAAAATCAATTTAAAAATTTGAATGAATTAATTACTCGTGCTATGTTTCTACTATACGTAGTTCTATTCCAAATAAATCATAACCAATGTGGATAGAGGGGATAAGGTTCTTAACTCATGAAGACAGTGGGATGTGAGAATATTCCAAGCGAACACTGTCTAGGCTGTAACTTCTAGGCGGTTAGGCCCCAAGCGGCTAGGATTAGGATGTTATTTTTTTTATGTTCGGGGCGGCGTAGCCGCTTAAGACAGATTTCCTAACCTCAACAGTCGTCAACTTTAACGCTTAATATCTCTGTTCGGAGGGCAGAGCGACACTTTTTATTGCCAGATTCGTTCGTTTCGTGCAAAAACGCATCGAATGAGTGTATTTTTATCAAAATTTGAACGGAGCGGGATATTCAATAATATTATACGCTTTACCTTCTTTCGTAATGTGTCAGGAACCCTCGATCGTCAGTGACACCAGTAATCGTAGACAGGAAAAAATTACGTATACAATGGTGCAAATAAAGAATCATTGCGTCAACGTATTCTCATATTTAACGACCTCTAATAACTGATAACCTATAACGAACGAATCGACAAATCCAATTGCTAAGCTCTAATGGCTGACCCACGAGGTCTGTTCTTTATTTCTGCACTACCTGAACTGGTGCACACGGTGTAATAAATTGAAGCAGGAGAGTGGACGTCTGGCCTTTTTCGTGTACTAAATCTCATAAGATAATATCCACGTTTTTGTGGTTCTTCTCCATACTATTACGTGGGTTAGACAAGAACGAACCATTAAAATAGATTATTAATCTTTGTCACATAATAACTTTATGGCCAATATATCCTATTTTTTATTTATTGAATTTTAAACGTACGGTCTGTTGATTCTTATATATAATTAATTGTAATTGAGGAAAAAATTAGGTGTCTAATTCAAAACTAAGTAATAATTATTAACTTTGTTATTAACTCATAATATTTTATAAATATTTTATAATATTATAGAAAACTAATGTGTGTGTGTGTGTGTGTGTGTGGACTTATTTAACTTTTATTTTTTATTTAATTACTAACATCATTTCTGTAAATAATCTATGTTTAATATATTTTTAAACGTAGAACGCATGTTTTTAAAACAAAATTTGTTAAAATTAGAAAAATTAATTTATTGATTTATTAATAAGCATATCACAAAATAAATCTTATATCAGACTAGCAATTCTCCCTCTCGCGCGCGCGCATGTCATACATATAGTAAATTTCTTTTAAATAACTGATTACATTATAAGTATTTTTTATGTCCGTTTTCTCCAATTTATATACTTACACGTTAGATTATCTCAATATTTTATGTAATTAAGTAATTTATGAAAATTGTAAAAAATATACATATATGAGTAATTCAAATTTGTTTTTTTATAAACTTTTTTATATATTTTGTACCTAGAATATATACTTATACATATATAAAATTGATCATACCATTACACATACAAAATGTTTCTTCCTCTGTATATGCTTTTAATTTATTTTTTAAAGAAATTAGATAGACTTCTTAAACTAAATTAAGAGAGATACTTAAATCTTGCCAGAATATTTATAAAACTTTTTGAATGTATTTAATTGTACTTTGAAAACTTCTTGTGACGATGTTGGTAATGTACGAGATAAGAAAGCGAGTCCATGCTGATCACAAATGCTAATTAATTGACACAAAGATTCATGCAAAGCCATCTGCAACAAAAATGATAAACATATTTAAAAACTATCTATTAAGATAATAATTAAAAGATATTGAACAAGGGAAAGAATCTTACTTTTAGCCAAAGTAAAGCTTACTTATAATAATATTAATATTTAATAATATTAATATCCAGAGACATGGTAGTAACTCGGCGCTACGAGAATGTGTAACGTTTATAGTCTACCATGTCTCTGGATATTAGTATTATTAAATATTAATATTTATACATGTTTTATACATGTATATATATCAGTTTGATATTTATAAATACAGTTTTATAAAGTGCATACTGATTCAGTTTGTCAGACTTGTAAAGATATTACCTTAACATAAGATGGTATAGTGCCTTCTACAATTAGTAGCAAGAGATCAGCGATAACATAAGGAGCTAATCGGACCATAGCTGTCTTTAATTTTACTAGCACGTTTGTCAATCTGAAAGAAAATATATATTCTTATCAAATCAATTTTTTCAATAAATAAATTTTTTAATATTGATTATATAATTACTATTGATATGTAATGTTAAATATTTTTTAAATTGAATTTACTTTGTGATGTCGAGCGCATAACATCTGAATCGATGCTCATCGAATTTATTGATTATGCTTTTCGATGCATGAACAATGATATTTATTGTACGTCTATATAATAGTAATAAATTAGGTAATTTGTCTGTTATCAAATCTGTTTTGACTTTCATCATTGTTCTACATATAGTAAGTACATCTTTGCACGATGATATATTCACTTCGTCGAGTGACTTTAAACTGATTAGTATAATAAGATCGATCGTAATGTCCGGAATAAGTAAATGTTTGGCACTGATTATATCGTGAGACAAACACAATAGCTCTGACCAATATCTGTGTGGCATATCCAATGTTAATATAGTTTCAAACAGATTATTGATTGCATTCAAACGCACTTTATTACGTTTAACATTCATATCTATTTTCATTATATTGCTCCAAACGACAAATATATTTGTCCATACTACTTCATCTTTCTTTTGTAACAAGATATGGATCTGTATAAACAAGGAATAAATTATGTAAATATGCATAAATATTAATTACGATGTATATTAATAAAAGAAATATATTAATCAGAATATTACCGTTTCATCATGCAATAGTCTTAAGAATTCACAAAATTCTTTTAATTCAGAAGATGTTAATAAAAGTTTGATCAAATTCTTATGAGGATGCTTTAACATTATAAACCATAAGTTGATGATCATATTTTCAATTTCAAACATTTTACGATGCTGTAAAACAATAATAAACAATTGCATACTTTGTTGCAATAATTTATCATTATTTGTATTGTTTAATTTTTCTTTTGCCTGTAAAGGAAATTTATTTTTTAATATTCTCTGCCTAAATTTAACACGTAAAATAAAAAATATCACATTTAAGAAAATATAATTTCTTTCATATATTAACTTACCGTGAATATATTTTTGAGAGTTGCTTCAGTTAATCTTTTTAAAGTGTCAGTAATTTTGCCAGTTTGGAAAGTCATCTTTAATACTGCTATTAAACATTTTACATCAAAAGCATCATTTATATGTTCAGGTAATGACTTTAAAATAATTTTAACTAATTTTTTTTCTGCCTTTTTAAAAATGACTTTTTGTTCAGCATCCAATTTTGGTTTAATAATCTCCATACATTCCAAAATAATGCACATGGTTTCCTTGCATTGAATACAACTTTTTATGAGATTCTTTAAAGTGGCATATGTTCTTACGTTTCGAAGAGAGAACTCACAAGCTTTCGAAAATATTTTATTCTGTGCTAACTGATTTACTAATAATTTTGGTTCTATATACTGAAATAGGTCGATTCCGGTCTTTTCTAGTAAATCTAGAAAATTATTTTTATTAACATTAAATTTTTGCGTATAAATAGTAATTAAAAAATTAAGTTTAAGTATCACATAAATCGTTCAAAGAAATAAAATTAAATTACCTGAAAATATCATGTTGCATAACACCGATACCTTGTCATTTTTTCCACATTTTTTACTAATAAAATATACAATTAAAAATATTAACGTTCTTACATTAGTACTGAAATATATTATCGGTAAATGAAGAAGTATTTCTAAATATAATACAGTTTCAAAAGAAATTGTATTTGCCATTTGCATCCATTGTTCCTGTGATATCTGTTTTTTTAAAATTTGCAAAACTTCTAATAATTTATCGTTACATCCGTTCTCCATCAACAGTTTCTACAATTAAGAAAAAATTAAGAGTGTAAAATGTATAAGATATTGTTTTACAATTATTAAAAAATTGAAAATTCTTCAGCTTTAAATTATTACTTACAATATTAATATATTCGGTAATAGTTAGCGAAAAGCTGTGTCCAATTTGGACAAGAATATGGCTTAAAAAACACATTATTAGGTATTTATTTTCTTGAAGACATTCCTTATCTAATATATTAAGCCATTCATGAAAGTTGTGTTCAGTTGAATTTTGTATATCAGTCAACAATAAGTAAGTCACTTTTGATATCTCTTTGTCATGTAATAAGGAAAGTATATCTATGTCATGTTTTAAAATAGTACTCCAGAAATACTCAAGGTCACCTATTAAACCATGAAGTTTAATAGGTTTATTTGATATATTTAGCTTTAGTCGATATAAAATAAGTTTGTTCTGAAATTTTGATATAGAAAGATTGTGAGTGAGCTTCTTGTAAAAGTGTAAAAAATATTTCATCTTGAACACAATGTGAACATTGAACACATTGTGTCACAAAAATATTTTTAATTAAATATTTCCAATACCATAATATCCTTGCAATTATCTTCTCCAAAATTGGTAATCCTTTGAATTAATTGTTGCCAAGGATCATCCAGAATTGGAAACAGTAGTTTCTTTGGTACAGTATCTTTCAGTATGTAATATGTAAACATATTCTGTATTTTGTTCAATGAATGCACTGCACTTAATAGTATTATGATAACAGTTTTGTTATGACTTAAGCATAATGACTTATTTACCAACAGCGACAATGCATTCCCTATTTCATCTAAGCAATTGATAAATTTTTCATGAGCGGATAATATTCTGGTATATTCAAAAACCTGCATACCTTCAAAACATATAATAAGCAATTCTACTGTTACCTTTAATATCATAATATTTTTACCTGCAATCAATATTTAAAAAGAGAAATTAATTTATATTTTTTAATATCAATTTTTTTTTACTGTTACGAAATTAATAATCAATAAAAGATACTTACATAAAGTATTAGACTGCAACAATTCTGCACAATCTGTATTTAAATAATATATTAATGTTCTTAGAGTTGCAATAGTTTGTGAATTAGAAAAATTACTAATTGCTTTTATCAGTTGGATTTTAAATTCACTTGGAAAAAAAACAGATATATTTGCTTTATATGTCTCTTTTGTTGCAACATGTTGCTTTAATGATATTAATAATTGCGAGATAAACTTTTGCTCTCGTCTTAATTTTGTACTGGTGTATAAAATTGCAATTAACAAGTTTGTGTGATCAACTGTTTGTTCTTTCATAAGTATCTTATTTATAATATTCGAGATGTTTTTCTCTATCAAAAGTGGATTGATATATGAAAGTTGTGTAAGTATTCTGTACTGTACACATGTTACATCATCGGTCAAAATCTCACTTATAAAATTCTGAAAATACTCAGTTAATGTGATACCCTCTATAATATTATCAAAGTCAAGTGTTATGTCATTCAGTAATTTGAGAAAAGAATCCAAGATTTCCCATTTATACTTTCCTGAAGAGTTAACTAGATTTCTCAAAAATGTATCCAACAAAATAGTATCTGATTTATAAGTACCTATTACGGTACGAAAAATAAACTGATATGTTAAAAGATTACTCTGTAGATTTGATGTATTTATGTTTTCAGATAACATGCAAAATAAGTCTGAAAACATTGATTGGCAACTTTCTTCAGTCTGTTTATTTTGTACAGATCTATTTTTTCCAAGCAACAATTGTTGAATGCACTTGTAGGCTGCTATACCAAGTTGATTTGTATTATCTATATGTGTGTGATCAACTAAAATACACATAGGATATAAAATATTCCATATGAAAGTTAATCTCAATTCATCTTTTGTAGTAATCAGCTGTTTATATATTTGCATCAGACTTTCGATAATGGTTATTACAGCATTACTTTCTACAGGTGACAATTTATATGGCTCAAATAATTGATTGATCTTCTTTTGTATTACAGTATTATAGTTAGAATGTTTCAACACATTATTGAACACAGTTTTTATTAACAAGCCTAGAATTTTTGGCTTGGTTATAAAATATTGCCGCATACTATTATTAACAAAAATTAAACTGCAACATTCAAGGACCTCATCATATGTGCTTTTCAGATTGTTCTTTTCTAACGTTTGAATAAGCATATCAATTAAAGATTGTTTTATATCTGCTCTAATATTGATATGGTTAAATTTTAAACAATTATTCAACTCTTTCCAAGCATGTTGATTCATAGCACAAGTTTTACATAACCATTCCAAAAGAAAGTCTTCTTTGGAAATAAGTAGTAGATCATCTTCACAAAACGCAGTTTCTGCTAATTTTAATCGCTTCGCTAAAGGATAATCATTCGAGTTTAATCGTTTTAATAATTCTGTAAAATATATACATTATATTAAAAAAAAAAAACTGTAAAAAGGACATAGAAGTTAATGCAATCACATGTTTTGCAATACATATATCTTGCAAGAACCATTCACTTACCATTTGACAACGCCATTGTAATAATTTATACAATTTTTGATTTATAATATTTGTCTGACATATATTTTAAACCTTAATAAAAAAGGTAAAGTCAAATGGAGCGTGATCACCTCAAAAATCGATGAAATTACACTCATTCGACGCGTTTTTGCATAAAACGAAAGAATCTGGCGGAAAAAGTGCCGCCCTGCCTCGCGAATCGAACACGACTATTTAGGTTAGGAAATCTATCATTAACACGTGGTATGTGGTAACACTGCGACGCGAGCATGCGCTGTGGTCACATTTTCATACTCGGTGACCACACGCGCATGCGTTTTCATAAATATGCGCTCGAAAAAGAAAATTTGATAAGTTCTTTTGTTTTCTACTGTGTAGTACAACACGTGCACATAAAGTCACTGCTTTGAAAACACAAAAGTACTGTCTAAAAACGCAAAAAGTCACTTTTGCGTTTTTAAAGCAGTGACTTTTTGTGTTTTTGACCTTTGTGTACCTTTTATTCTAAAGATATTTTATCTGCCAACAAAACTTGCATACGCGCGTGATCACAGCGCGTCATAGTGCATGCGCACGTAAGTAAAGTATGTTGTACAAAGGGCTGGAATGCGCGTTCAGGAATTATGTTCAGATAACTCTTGGGTGTGTAAATTACCGTTTTAATAATTGTACTGCGTTTGTTAAATTTTAATTGTATTTGAACATTGAGAATGACTCGGAAAAAGAGGTTAAAACATCTGTTACGTTTTTTTTATGATTTTTGTGCTTTTTATGTTTATCTCTTGTGTTTTTTCTTCTATGAGAAGAAAGTAAATAATTTTTGTGACTTATTTTTAATAATTATCTTGTTAACTATTGCGAAAATTGTAAAATGGTAGAGGAGTTTCCTTCTCAATTTAGTCTGCTCTACCAGAATACAAGCGTTGTCGACTATATATAGCATTAACATCTAACTTATTAGGCTCGTAATCTTTTCTTTTATATTTATTGAATCTTTTTCAATTGTTGAGCCTTTATTAGTGCCTTTATACAATTACTGAATATAAAAAAGAAAACATATTTCTTAATAAATTCCGTTTTTATTTTCATTTAGGCTATGTTCAGATTCCCACCCGAGTGTCACTCCATCATTCTATCCTTGTCGTTTGCCGAATGGAAAACAAAGATGATATAACATCCGGGGAGCAACCGCGGGTTCCGAATCTGAACTCGTCCTAGCAGGTAAATAACAATAAAATTCTTCAAAACAAAGAATTCGCTATGACAAAATTCAAGTTAAAAACACGTAAAGCATTGATAATTTACTAAGAGAAACTCGTGCTTGGATGTCGTGAGATCCTTTCTCTATAAAGTAATGGTTCACTTTCCGAATATCTGCAGTAATTGGCGTACTTGTATTGGTAGCTATTGTGTGCTAAACCGTTTTGTAATTCAACCGGTTGTTTGATACCGTAGCTCTGAGACAGAGGCAGGGATTTGCACATTGTACTGTATTTCTCTTGCACCGCTGATTCGCATGTTTGCTCGACGATGATAGCCGGTGAAAAATCATTATTTTTCGTTCTTCCTGCAAATTTAATAATTTTAAAGTACAAAATATAATTAAATACTTACAAATATACAGCAAAAACAAAATACATTCCAGTCTAAAAATAAACACAGCTATACAAAAATAAATTTAACAGTAATATCTCTTGTTGTGTGATACATATACATATATTAAGTCAAATCATTTTCTAATAAATAAAAACATAAAGATTCATGTGAAAGTAAACTTTGCTTTAGTATTTATTACGAGATAAAATCGATTATAATAAATAAAATTGATAACATACAGCAGATACCTGATTTTACCGACCATTTTGACAATCTGTTTTGCTTGAGATATTCTCAGAATCGTTTAAACTTTCCTCATTATTTTCTTTAACGCATCTTATAAAGAACATCGACAATGCTCCTATTATCGGAGGAATGCCGGCAAGTAAGAAAGGCAGATCATAGGTACCTGATAACAACACAAATAATCTAAGTTATCATTTATAAGTTTGAAAAAAACGGTAAATATTTATTTTAGGAAACTTTATCGAAAAAAATCACATATCACAAAGTTACATAATGAAATCATGTAATTAAAATATGTAAATCACATAACTGTAACAGATTGTTCCAAAACATGATGTTTTAAATCGTAATTTGAAAAATCATACGATGATGTTTTTTTTTCTTTTAATTCTATCATTTACTTATTTAAAATTAGATAACTATAAAATCAAATGATAGATAAAATTATTTCTAATATCGTGTGATTCTTCGTGATTTAAAAAAATCATGTACTGATTTGGAACAATTAATTTGCTTTTTTGTACAGTAATTTACATATTTTAATTATATATAATTTTGTTATGTAACTGTGATGTCATTTTTTTCAATAGGAAACTCTTCCAGTGAGTCTAGTGACCCTGACCTTGATGTTGTCAAAATCATGACAAATTGTAAGTGTTCGTTTAAGAATGGCGGTATATATATTAATTATTAATTTAAATTGTAATGATATAAGAATAAATTAAAACATTTTCCTGCTTTTTATTCACTAAAAAGCAGTCTGTTATTTTGTTATTAGTACGTATAAGGCAGTTATAAAAATTATTACCAGTATGATCGTACAGAAGGCCCGCAATTGGTGGACCAATTGTTAGAGGTATAGAACACATCCCTAAAAGAAAGCCAATGGCCTGAGTTGCGCCGCTACGGCCGCAAATATCGAACGCGATCGGACCAAGTAACGATATAAAGCATCCATCAAACAGTCCCATCGCCAGCGAAATGATCAGAAGCATGAGGAAGGATTTGGTAATTGGAAGGAGCATTGTAAGGATGCCGATACTCACAAATGATATCTGAAAACAAAATGGTCCTAAATTTTTTTTGTATTAAGGTTTTAGCAAGAGAAAGAGAGAGAGAGAGAGAAGTGCTAAATTTATTTTATAAACAGGGAATGGAAGCAACTCGTTACAAAGTTTCTTTTTTGGTAACTCGGTTGATAACTGTGTTACTTTTTGTGGTAACTGTAACGGTAACGTAGTTACATTTTTTTTATAACAGTAACGAGTGTTGTAATGCTGGATTCACACTGCATCCGATGTGCGTCGTACGACGATTCACAGAAAAATCAGAAAAATCGTATCATCGATGCGAAGCAAAATCCTGTTTTCTAATTGGTTGCAGATTCGTCGTATGAAAATGGGATGCAGTGTGAATCCAGCATAATTAGTGGTCGCCGATTTTAAAAAAGTAACAGAAAAGTAAAAAAAAGTTACTTCTTCAAGTAACGTATCTGTAACGAGTTAGATTTAAAAATCCGTAACTATATATAACACTAACTCGTTACTTTTTTTACTCGGTAACGAGTAACGCGTGATTTGTTACTTTTAAAAAGTATCTTTTTTATTCTTCTCTTTGTTTATAAATAAAAAAAAAGGATTTTAAACATATCGTTAGAAGCTCGAAGTTCTTGTTGAATACTCACCTGCTGCAAGAATATTCGATTCACTTTCGGCATATCGGCGATGTAGCCAAAAATTAAACGGCCAATACCGGAGGTGATGCCGATACACATAACTGGCAGCTTGCTATCAGCGTCTTTGAACTTTATAGTCACGAACTTTCCAATGTGAACGTATGGGACAAAGTATCTAAAATAAAAATTGAGTTTTTTTATCTCTATAAAAATAAAAAAAAATAGAATTTGTATACAGAAAGTTCAATTCTTCACATTTATGTAATAAATAAGAAAAAGGCGATCACATTCAGTAACACAAGCAATGATGTACCCGGGAAAAAGATCAACAATCACGTACGGTAGAAAAACATTCGAAATATCGTTCCAAAGAGAATCATAAATTATACAAATTAATCAGACAACGAATAGTTTACGATTATAGTGATTTATTGAGATTATGTATTTCAGTTTGATTTTTATGATGGAAATTTATCGAAATCGTCTACTTCGATTTAATCTTTATTGTATTTATATATCATCAAATCGAGATAACACAGGCCAGATTTGGCCTAACGTAAAAAGAAGAAGAAGAAGACTCAAAATAACTTAAGATTATATTGTATTTTATGTACAATCGTTAGTTTGTTAAGGCTATTTGTAAGTATAATTGTGCACAAACAACCGACTTACCCAAAAAGAGCGAAAGGAATAGAAACAGCCCATACAACGTATCGTTTCTTTTTCCAGATAGATACGTTTACGAATTCTTTCAGATGATTTCGTAGAGATTTCGTTTTATGCGATTTGTTTCCTTGCGATGTTACTGAAAAGAAGGTGCTCATTAATGTCTTCAATTATAGTCATTAAATGACTATTATATTATAACAAATTTAAAATATAAATTTATTATATATTATAAATTTATATTTATTAATTTTTAACAAAACCGTCTCAATTCGTTAGAATGTTTTTTGTGTTTTTAAATACTGTACATTTGAGGAGGGCCAAAACCCGAGGCCGAAACATGTCATGATTTATATATTATCTAACGCTTTTCATAATTTTATTAATGTTCAATTTATGTGTTAATTTTTAATTTTTAATTTATATATAGTTAACATTAGCGTTGATTTAATTTGTTTTTTAATTTTAGATGTTTGACTCTTATTAGCCTTTTATTTGTTTATTATATTTAAATATAAATTCTTCAAGAACACAATTTATGTTAAAAATCAAAATTCTATAATGTTATGTAAATTTTTGAAAAAGTTATTTAAAAAATTATATTGAAGTAAAATTATATAAACTATCTCAGTAAACCATGAATATAATTGTTACATAATATAAATGTAGGTGATACATATTTACATCTGTCATGTAACAGTTAAACTTATAATTTGCTAGGAAAACATTTTTAATTTATGTAGAAATTCTGAAAAATTCTGCGAAAAATTTTCTGAAAAGTCGTAAAAAGAATTTGATTTAGGAATGCATGTAAACTTGCATAAATGCGAACTACAAAAAAAAAACTTACGTGGAATTGGCTTAAAAAGAATTGCGCAAGCCATAACAATAGCTGTGAGTACGGCCAAGCTCCTCAATGTTCCTTCCAGGCCTAAACGTAGTATTAGGATCTCCATTAGGGATGGCAACAGTGTCGTGAATACTGAGCTTCCAGCTGTGACAATACCATTCACCAGCCCCAGATATTTTTTGAAGTAGTGACCCAATATCGCTAGACTAGGGGTATAAGCGAGACTTGCACCAAGCCCGTACATAACGCCATATGTTAAAAAAAGCAGTTCCACCTAACAGACACAGGTAACGACAACGTGTACAATTCCGGAACAAATTTGAATAGAGATCACAATAACTAGAAATGTTTCTTTTATCTTTTCTTACCTTGGTCGTCAGTAGCGAGGAAAGAAGCAGACCAACGGACGCAATTGCACCTCCCACGAAAGTAGTTGTCTGAATGCCGAATTTATCCGTTAATATACCGGCGACCGGTGACAGAAAAAACGTCGTTCCAATAGTTAACGAGCCTACCAGAGCTGAAACAATATTTTACCATATTGTCTGATAAATAATAAAATGCTTACAGAATTTGTAAGAACAATTATTTCTGTAAAAAGGGTGGTATCCATCGTTTCTTTTTTTTAATTTATTAATTCTTTTTTTTTTATATCAAAATTATCTCGTTATTTGCTGTTTTATTTCTTATTTAATATTCTCAATATTAATATCTTTTATATTTATAATTAAATTTTGTATAACTCTTCTCTAAATGGATAAAATTAAATAGATTAAAATTCTGTTAAATAAATAGTATCCTTATACTCATAGTAGATCTTAAGCGCGCACGCACGCACACACACACACGCATACACACACACACACACACACACACACACACACACACACACACACACACACACACACACACACACACACAGTATAGGCATTTTCTTCGCTTTATCAAAAATAGATAATTAAAAATCTGGGACAATAACATGCATATACATATATATATATTTATTTATTTATTTATTTATATATATATATATATATATAGACAAGATAATTACTCTAGTGAGAGAGTCAATCGATCGGATGTTATAAATCAGCAGTGCATCTAGGTCAACAATTTATGAATTATATTTTTCTTTTCATTAAGAGGATCGATGATTAAATTGATGAAGCAGCATCAACAAGAGAGTAGCATGAATTAGCTTCTATTACTACAAATGACTGTCTAATTGTCGTACAATTTAGTTCCATAGTATTTAAGGGTTCCATCTATATAAACAATCACTCTCGTGACTTTAATTTATAAACGTCGTTCAGATAATTCCATTAGATAATTCCATGAGTCATTGTGTTCCTATTATATATGAATATTTATAAAAGAGTGATACGCACCAAGCTATGTATCTCTTACTATCTTTTGTTAAACCGATGGTGGTAATTTCATTGAAATTCGCAGTCTATTTTATATTTATCTAGGAATGATTCCTTCCTTTCAACGCGATTTAACGATTTAAACGCAACAAGAGCAAGCAAAGATAAACAGCAATCATTCTTTCGTTTTTATGGAAAAGCGATAAATTGACTGACAATTGCGTCCGCCGCACAGTAAACGTTGCCGCGTCTTGTGTGCTGAAGCTATATAAGGTCCATCTCTCCTCATTTAAAGGAATTCGCTTATAATTTTCAACCCAAAGAACTTAGAGCAATGAATTAAATTAAATAATTCTTTTTTATTTTATATAGTTTTCGTTTTATTGACTAATGGCATTTGCTTGCTTTATTATAATTGTTATTGTTATTCAATTGGATGAATATAAAGTAGTATAATGTTATTTCCTACATAGGAGATAAGGGATGTTATACTTCGGAAATCCACCTCTACGCTTCATATGGAAGTGCAGGTTGTAGTCAAATGTATTTATCATCTAATTAGTGAATGGATTCTTACTGTCCCAATCTATTATCTAGCGAAACCACTGCCAAGAGAATGGGCTTAGAAAAATTAGCGGAGAAAGGAGATCCTGTTGATAGTCTGATTCAATGCTTGATTTTTTTAGTCTGACATTATAAATAGACATGAGAACTGTAGCATAAGTGGGAGACAGCGACATCGTCGGTGAAATACCACTACGTTCATTATTTCTTTACTTTTGGGCAGAGCGCGTGTCCCGAGGGCTTCATGCTCCGACTGTCAGTGTTCTAGAGCCAAGTGTGTTAGAGAGGCGTGAAGTCTCATACAAATTTAATTTCATATTTGTAAGCACAATAGTTACAAATTGCATTATAATTCGTCATTTTATTATTCTTATTTTTATTATCTGCACACTAAAAATGAATGTATTTCATGATACAGAGGATCCATGATATAGCATTTTCGCAAAACGAGGTTTCATCTCCCCTTTACCTAGCACGAATTTCCACGCGAAATAAAGAATACATTAAGTAATATCCCTCTGCCTAGAAGGTTGTGAGCCCTTTGGCACGGAGAGAAGTGGAGTGGACTTTGCTTCGTGTAGAAAGTTGTGTGTTTGGCAGGAGAGGTGAGATAGAACTCGCTTTGTATAAAAGATTGTGCGCTCTCAGGCAGGGGGAAAGGTAGAAATGTTAAGTTATTTGTGAGTTATAATTTAAAATATAAACTAGCCTTGGTAATGTAAAGGCTTGACGCTCGCACGGAATGCCAAAGATCCGGGTCCCGACCGAGGTTATATTTTTCGCAATGAAAAATTAATAATTTACAGATTTTAATATGTCATTCAACATTATTAGAATCGATCTAAAAATGCGCAAAGAGCATTAAAAATGGTTAAATTGTTAGTCAATTTAACTCGTGATATTACTATGATTAAGTATAGTTTAATAGTATTGCGTTTTAAGTCTGAAAAAAATTCGACGCGCAATTAAAAATCTACGAACGTAGTATATATAAATTCACACACAATTATATAGAAGCACCCGAGATCCAGCTTGACCGTTAAAACATACTTATGATAATTATCTTTTACAAAATTAAAAAATAAAATCATTAATGGGCCAATATTATCTCTTTCGAAGTTAATATCGTGGAAAGATTCCGTACCTGCTTTGGAGGAAACTTCGGTTTCGCCGGCTTCTATCAGTCGCTTCTGTAACTCCTGATAAATGAGGGAATACGTGTTAATGATGCTGAAGAGTACACCGTTGATTGTGAAGCTACCGATCATAATCATCCAGGCCCTGAGACCACCGTCAGGTGGTTCGACAGTTGTATTCGCCGGTTCGTTTGCGTAGTTTTCGACATCAAAATCCTCTTTTCGGCGCATCGCGCTACCATCCGTCTGTGCCACTACTGCATTCTCCATTTTATGCATTCTCCTCAGCTTCCCGATCGGTGCATCAATCGTTACTGCCGCGCTCTCAGCCAGAAGGGGATTGCCTGAATCGAAATTATCGAGGTCGGTCTGAACATGACTTGATGTGCCGATTGGATCATCCGCGGTTGTGCGATTGATTGCTCGGATCGATTCGATAGCATTATCTTCTAGACCGAAACTGATGTCTCCGTTGTCGGTTTCTTCACCGATCGCCATTGTTATCGTCGGTTATCTATGTTGATTATCGGCTGTATTCGAAGAAGAAACTGCAAACTAAAAAAAAGTTTTTTTTCAAATTGTATATTAAAAAGTGTACAAAAAATTTATGTAGTTTGCAACTATACTTTAAAAAAACAACTATGTACAAGCTTTTTTTACAACAAATGATCCATCTCATTGTTCTCAAAAAATAAATAATTTATGAGATATTCTATATTTTATGTTTTAAACTAGAATAAAGTATAAAATATCTTATAAACACTCACACGAAGATAATATGCTGAGCTAATGCTAATTCCCTAAATATTCATAAAAAGTTCCTAAAATCCCCTTAAACGTTTCAGGAGTATTTCAGAATACTCCGAAATATTGTATTACAGAATGTATATATTTTGGAATATTCTAGAATATTTCTGAAAATTTTTTTTTGAGATTTTGGAATGTAAAAGCTACATTCAAATATCGGTTAAAAAATTCCATTCATATATTATTACATATATTTCCTCTACATATTCCCTCTATATATTTCGTAAAATTCTAATTTTTTTCAGAAATTCCAGGTCCAGTCATCACTGAATAATTTTTCAAATAAAATTTTATCATAAAAAATACATTTTAAATGCTTTTGCCTTAATTGAAACTCAATTTTGTGATTTACTTCACGCCTTCACAGAGTTCACAGGCGAAAAATGTACTTTTTCTTATATTCTCTCAAATAATTCTTATTTACGTGTTACTCTCTGAAATGCTCTTTACCATAGCCTTCTATTAGCGGAGATATGTACTGTTCACTCGCTCGCAAATTTCGTGATACCTGGAGATACGGTAATGTATCTCGGCACTAAGACATGGCATGAGACACTCTGCAATGCTCCTTTACACGATCCGGCGAGTTGCGCCACATCGAGATTATCGAATCTCAATAAAGGCTGAACCGATCAAGTTCTACATACGCTCAATCGATATAGCGCCCACTCGAATTGTGTAATGAGGGTGGTGGTCCCTATTGGATCTACTGTGGAGTACTTAGGCTTGACTCTTGACTCGCGGTGGACCTTTTGGTATCATTTCTGTTCAAGACATGGGGGATGGCCGCTGCCTTAGGAAGATTGACTGCTAATATAGGTGGCCTTGGAGAGTATAAGTGATATATGTACGCTATGTCTGTGATTCTCTATGGAGCCCCTATTTGGGCTGATTTGAGCCCAGACGGTGGCGGGGGATCGCGGCATCCTGAGAAGAGTTACTCGTTTGCAGCGACTGGCGTTGAAGGTCATTAAAACATATCGTACGGTGTCTCATGAGACTACGGTCATACTTGCTAGAATAATCCCATTTGCTTATACGGCAGACCGTTTTAAGCGGGTGTACTTGTGTCGTCGCAAGATTTTGGCAAGGGATGTATTTATCACGTCTAGGATGCATGTTATCTTGCACGATGTTAAATGGAGGTGATCCATTTTAAAATGGAGAGAACATCTATTGGGGGTGCCTGATTCGGTGGTCCGTAGGACATTGGTCCATAGATTAGAAGATTAGATGAGAAGGGTGCACGGTAGCCTTATATACGTATAGGATCAGGTTAATTGATAGGTCATGGGTATTTCGAGTCATACCTATATGAGATCGACAGAAGAGGGTCCTCGATCTGCATTTTCCGCAGAACAGCGGTAGGCATTACCGTGCATATCCTCTTGTTCTGCCCTCGTTGAACGAGATACAGAGAGGAGTTGTTAGGGGTGTGATAGAAATCATAACACCGTCGTGGACACCATTGTGCGTTCTTCGCGGAATTGGACGGTCTTCGCGGAATTTTGCGAGACTGTCATGGCGAGGAAGGAGGAGGAGGAGCGAGTTCGAGAGCGGGGCGTTGTCCGCCCGGCTATACTTCCTCCTCTTTCTGACTCTTAGTCGTATGTTAATTATGTTAATTTTGTATGTGTGTGTATAAGTGATGCGATCTTTTGTGTACTCTTTTACGTATACATAGTAGGGTAGACTTAAGTTAAATTAAGATAGACTAAGTTTTGTACATATATATAAATATGTTTTGACCCGTCTATGTGCGTATAGGGAGCTTTGTGCTCTTAAACTGAGGGGTACCTGAAGTAATGCTTGAATGCGGTTCCGGAGTACTCCTCTTATGTCTGTGCGGTAGTTGCACAAAGAGGAGGGGGGGAGGTAGTTTTTAGTCAGTAGGCGGCTACCTTGATGCATCCTCCCTTGTGGAGGTTTTCCAGGGCGGCTGAATTTGGCACGCCTGGTGATATAGGCTACCAGATGTCTTCCCTTTGCTAGATTAGGTTCGCCTTTCGGCGTTCCTCCCGGTTAGGGGCTTGGCGAAGATTTTCTCCTGCCTCACAAAAAAAGGCACATATGTGTAGTATACATGTTATAGGTTACGTATCAGACTTTACTACTACTAGGCTGATCACATAGAAGTCTGTGATTTATACGTACATTGACACATAATTTATTTTTTACATATGTAAATAAAGAATAAGATACTGACATTGTGATCTTAAAACCTCAAAATGTCAAGCACGTATTTTTTAGGCATACGTATATGATTATACATTGACTATATTGCATGATGTCATTTATGTTTCCACTATGTATTACATAGATTTTGAAAACATCTTTTATACATGATATATAAGTATAGAGTGTATAGAATTAAGTCTGTGGCTTAAAGTAAACTTTTCACTACTTCCATTATTTTCCCAACCTATATGATCTTCAGATTGTCAAGATGGCCTAATTCCTTAAATTGGGACACCCAGTATATGTATAAATTTAGTAATATATTATACATCTACAGACAAAAAGATTACAACTATTTTTTTTCTTCGCATGCCAAAATCAACCTCATCTGAAAAAAATTTTTGAGTGTTCATTGCATGAAAGATACGCAACGACATATTTGCTGTCTCATTTACTACTATACAAAAGTCCACGATGCGAGCATGATAATTGTCTGAAGTCGGATGATGTAGTTTCAAAGACTGCGGCTTAACCATTTAACTGCTGATTTGATGCATCGGTGTAAGATCCTTGTGTGTGTGTGTGTCGCGTGAGGAACATTTCGGTTCCTGAAGTCTACTTACGTACCGATCGAACGTTTGCGATCAAAGTCGAAGTGAATGATATAATAAAACTACAGTGATGTAGAGCGATAAAAATACGTGATATAGTTTGCTTTCTCTTATGCGTCTATGTGATTTACATACTACACACATATATTATATATTACATTGCAATTCTTGATAACGCTCGAAATAGTGAAATATCAAGTTCATAATCATCGTATCGAAAGATGACGAAGATAATTTGATAGAAACTGATGGTTCTCATTACTAATTAATGCAATTATTACAATATTGATCTTTTTTAGGGAAAATAGCGAATATCTGTTCAAATGCTATGAAATCTGTGTACAACTGTTATTCTGCAAAATTATTTTAAGCATTATAACATAATAATTCTTTTCTTATAATAAAAATGCAAGCATTTCTATTACAAGTAAATTATTAACACACTGCTACATCACATATACAAATAATATTCAATTTTATAATAATAAACTTTTAAGAAGTCAAAGACGTTTTTATTATTTATTATTTTCGTCATGAAACATTACTAAATCTTGTAATATTTTAATTAAAAGTAATGTTTTATATTATGGCAAAGAAAAGTAAGTTATGAAGAAAACGCGTTTGCGATTTGCTTGGATTTTGCTATGAAAAGAATCGTTCATACATGAACAATCGTTCATATCATCAAGCAAAAATCGCGGCGTTTGCGAAATACAAATTCGAATTCTTTCGTACATCATGATTGAAGTAAATGCGTTTATATAATTTTAAAAAAGAGTTTACAAACAATATATTTGTAATTTACTTTAACAACGTAATTGTGATAAGATGATTTCGAATTTTATTTTTCTGTTATGAATAACAAAGCAAGTGTTGTCATGAACGTCACACGTTTTATGCAATAATCGATGCAATTCGCTTTAAAAATTGGAATAACAATCATTGTTTGCTGAAATGGTGAAATATGTTGGCTCATATTACAAAATTTTTTGCACAATATTCGATTCTCTTCTCTTTTGAATTTATCGTTACTCTACTGCATTTTTTGTTTTATACAAAATAATTGTAGGAAGACAGAAAACAGAAATCCCTGAAATTCTGTAATTCTTAACGGAAGTTTTATTATTACATTAATACAAGTAACCAGGATAGAATCACTTGAGTTTTACTTTTTAATTTGATAGAATTTAACTTGATATTTAGGTTTTATTATATAAATAGTTATTTTCGAGAATTTTTTTATTATATGTTATTACTAATTATTATTTTATTTTGTTAATTATTTTTAATTAAAATGTCAGTAAATTAGTGATCTTAATATCATACATATATATAATTTTATTATCCTATAATATATATATAAATAACTTTTGGCCAATTTTTTTAAATCAGACCACTGTGTGCAGTTTCTTCTGTTTATCTTTGTTTAAAGATATAGTCGCAATTCGATCTCAATTCTTATTCGCAAAACGATAGCCTGCATAGATATTGGTCTATGTTAAACGTTTAATAGCCACAACAATTCAATAATTCATCGATATTATATCGATCACGCGCTTCTCTCTCCGCTTCTCAAAAAGCTAAAGCTAAGACAAACATATAAATTACTTTTTCTTCTTGCAAAGATCTTGGCACAACGCGACACAAATTGAAAGCATGCATTGATAGAAAACGCAATAGAGCATATCATTTATATTATATATAAATTCGAGAGAGTAATGTTTTCATTATCAAAACAACAGCCTGATATAAAGTCTCCATTATTAGAACTTAGACCAGCACACATAGACATTTGAATTTCGCATTATGTAATAAAAGGGAATGCTGGAAGTTATCTACGTAGCCTAGATAAAATTACTGTTTTCATTTGATCATAATATTATTAGTAAACCATGTTATTAGAAAACCAAATAGCACAGCAAATTATTATAATTTCAAAGAAAGTTTCATCTTTATGAATTAGCATAATCTGTTTAAGATAAACTGAAAAAAATCCATTTTCAGTTTATAATAATAATAATAAAGTTCATACTAATAATTCAGTTCATAATTCAGTTTATAATAATAATAAAGAAAATATTTTATAAAAGTATATATATTTTGACTTCTTATGGGATTAAATCGAAGTTGCTCTGAAAGAAATTCTTTTCTGTTTGTAATAAGTTCGAAAAAAATCGCTCACTTGCGAGCAATTCGCGGTACTATACTCTCTAAATGGACGCAGCGAAGTTTTATTTCTCGTACGTAAAATATTATGTAGAATAAAGTGCGAATATCAAAGTTTTGTGAAATTGAATCGAATCGAATCTCGTTTTGTTTTCGGATAAAAATTTATTTCTAAATTCTCTACACTATTTAGCAAAACCGAGAATAATTATTTCAGTGATGGAGAGAAAAGGAAAAATGAACCTCCTCAATAACAAAAAAATTTTTTTTATGGTGTGTAAAATATAATAAAGAATAATATTAATTAGTGATATTTAATATATATATTTATTTAATATTATTATTTATTTTATTAGAACACAGAGTGAGAGTTACAGTACAGGTATACGTTAGAAACATACAGATTACTTGTACACATATATTATCGAACAAAATATAACTACTAGACCACAATAAAATCAGTGTATATTTATATTGTATAGTATATATTTATATAGATAATTAATATTAATTCTCGTAAAAATTTAAAGAAAATGTATTTTTCTTAGGATAATACTTTTCGTCATTTTTGAGACGTTGCTTATATTAGGACTGTTTTTTGTTTCTGCACTAACTAATGCACACGGTGCAATAAGTTAAAATGAAACAAACGTATATCTGTTTCACTTCAACTTATTGCATCGTGTGTACTAGTTCAGACAGTGCAGGAACAGAAAACAAACCCTTTGTAAGATCTAAATTAATACCGGACACTATCTGTTATAAAATTGATTATTTTGTATCACACTATATTATAAATTGTACATCTGAATTAATACCGGATCTTTACATACAAAGGACTAACATGATTCTCGCCGTTAAACGAGAATTTAGTTTGAATACCTTGACTGATTATATCTATTCCTCGGACATGATTTAGTAAAATTATCATTAATTTATTAAAAACTTTGAAGAAGACAGATGGCTGGTTTGATCACACTTATTGTCATTTCACACTAATGTATGTCAGACTGTACGAAATTTTAATTTTTAAGGAAGACTGTGAATCGAAAAGTATTATTGAAACATTTCATGCTCGATTATTGATCATTTTAAATTAAGATATATTGTTTTACTGTGCAAACATTTGAGCGTTATTATACTCATTGTTAATATTTTTCGTATTTTGAGACACAAAATTATCAATTATACAATATATTGTATTACTTTGTGCGAAAATGTACGTAGAATCTTTTAACACAGATAGCATTATTTTAATTTAAAGACGCAGGCGCAATCAAAACAAAAATACACGTAATTAATTATGGCTTGAAACGATAAAAAAAAAATAGCAATTGGTGAGACTGTAATGAAAAATGTACAAAGTATCTATATACTATATAAATTTTCTATATAAAAGTTCTTTTTTGAAGTATATCCATAAACAAATTTTCTCGAATAAAAATTATCTTATTTAAAAAGATCTAAAGTATAATAATTAGATCTTGTAGCCTATAACCTGGTACCCAATATGACCTATATACTGTTTGTGGGTAATTACACTAATTACACGATGAATTCAACAGATAACATTAATAAGTAGTGTAGACTAAAGCGGGGAGCACAGACTCTTGCATAACGCATAACATAAGGCATAAGAAATTCAACCAATCAAAATTCTTTATTCCACGGAGAGGAAGAAAACGAAGAATTTTGATTGGTATATTTTCTTATGCATTATATGTATTATGCGTTATGCGAGAGTCTGTGCTCCCCGTCTAACAATCGGACACGATTTGCATCAGTTTATTGTTGTCAGCTGTTTATTATATGATTATTAATAAAACAAAATGCAGAACGCCGAGGTCATGATATAATATTTCGTAGATAAGTAATTGCTTTCTATGACTACTAAAAGATGATTATTAATTTTTAAAGTGCACGTTATTGTAAGTTTGCATTTATACTTTATAACATTGTATTCAGCTTATACACAATGTTTTGTTTGCAAATATTGCAAATAGAGAAAACCCTTTGTGAAATATCACTATAATATGGATAAAGAAGAAAAACATTTAATTCACTCGCAGGGTTCTTCCGTGCATATTTAAAATTTTTACATTAAAAAAAATGATTTATAGACGTTTCGGCCAAAATTAGTCCATATTCAATATACCATAACAATAAAAAACAAATAATTTAAAATAATAATAGAGTGAGTGTGTCAATACAATAAAAGTTATTAGCGCGATTATTATAAGAATAAAGGATATAACTACTTGAATGCTTCTTTCCTTTATTGGTTTTGTTTATAAAGTAATTATTTTCTTCTTTATTTGTAGAACCAGTATGACTTAGACATACTGAATGTTATACGTTATATACGTACATTAATTATAACGGCTTTTTGTTACTTTTGTAGTTATTCCAGACTATTTTAATAAAAATATAGGAAGTCAAAACTATTCTAATTTATCTACTAAATTTATCTCTACACACACACACACACATCGTGGAGATAAGTAAATAAATAGATAAGCAAATAAATAGATAAGTAAATAAGTAGATAAGTCAATTGTTTGGAAAATAGGTTTTTGTGTATTCTTAAGGTGCGTTTAGATAATCCAGCTGAACCATGAACGGTAATCTTGATAAGCATTTGTTACGTGGCTCGACAAAAGGCAATGAAATGTTCACTGAAATGCTTGCAACCTGAGGTTTGGCTTAATGTTTCGACTTGATAATCTGGACGCATCTTTATACGTGTTAAAAAACACACCAATATGTCAATAAACTCATAATATTATAAAAATAAAATTGTTATTAGACCACATTATTTTTCATTTCTCTAACATTTTTTTTTTACGAAAAAAGGAAAAATATTGGGTATCCAATATGGACATGTACCCAATATGACCTAAATGCTATTTTTTCTTGGAATCTTAATTGCACCTATATAAATATTAATGTCTTATATTTTTCATAATGTTCAAAAATGTTTCCTCTTTTGAATCTGACCATTAGTTTTCAATTCTCGACTTAGGAAAAAAATTGCAAAAGGTTGTCCACATAGAGTTTCAATTATTAATAACTTAACAGTGAAATAGTTAAAAGTTATTATTATATTAATAATATTACAAAAATAAATACCATTTAATATAAAATTTTGAATAACGTAAATGACTATTAAATAACAACGTAAAATAAACGTTTGTTATCAATGATTATCATGGCAATTAATATGTTAATTTGTTTCGCGTTTTAGTCTAGAACCTAGAATGGATTTTCGCGTGTCACTACGCGCCGTTGTTGCATCAGACACATTGATGTACACATGGCGGAATGAGTATCATATATGTAGTGTAACGAAATAGTGCTAGAAAAACTTATTTTAAATAT